TTTTAGGTAACGACCACCAAAAAGCCTAGGCCAACAAAAAAGGTGACGACCACAACTGTTACACCCAGCACAACAACTGAACTTTACGATGACATAACAACAGAAAGTTACCCGGAGCAAGTTATTAAATACGACGATAAAAGCCGTGAGTATTATTAATAATATTTAAAAATAAATATTTGTTTTCAATGCTCAATAGACACATACTATTTTGTATCCATTATTATAATAAAACTAAAATTATAAAAAAACCAACGGCTAAAACTAACGGTAACGGACGTACCAGATAATTAGCCCTAATTAGCTTATAATAATGTCTAGCAAAAGTTTTAACGATATAAAATTGTAATTATTATAGCCCCATGTGCCTTTTAGTTTGCTTATTACAAAGCTTTAAACGAATACAGTACAATAATAAAAAAAAATATTTTAAAATTCCAGTATGCGGCGTACGACCACTAGTAAAATCAGGTCGTATCGTTGGCGGAAAGAACGCTTCGTTCGGCGATTGGCCGTGGCAGGTGCTCATCAGAGAGTCGTCCTGGTTAGGATTGTTCACCAAGAATAAATGCGGAGGAGTTCTTATTACTAATCGTTTTGTCACCACCGCAGCTCATTGCCAACCAGGGTATGTTTAGATATCGAATATCGTTTGATTATTTTCAACTTAAATGTTTTTTTTTTCAATAATATGTTACTCCCAAGTGTCTTGAATGTATATACTACTACGAACATGTAGATTCTTTCCATTTGTTTTATGAATGATCCCATAAATTTATTTTATATTAGTTTGCATGGTTCCAGTCACCATAAAACTCTTCATCAAGTTTTTTTAAGGAATGCAACTAAAAGTAACCTTCATTTAGCAGCTTCATGGGGTCATTGGTAGCTGTGTTCGGTGAGAACGACATATCTACAAACTTGGAGCCGAGAAGACCGGTGGCGAAGAACGTCAGGCGAGTGATACCACATCCGAAATACGATGCTGCGACATTCGAAAACGATTTAGCGATACTCGAACTTGATTCGCCAATCAAATATGAACCACATATCGGTGAGTGCGAACCAAATTTATTTCTATCAGCATTATCCAAGACAAAAAAGACAATACTATTAATATCCTACTAATTTAAAAAACCGAATGTTTGTTTGAAGGTATATACAGAACGGCTGAACGGATCTCGATAACCATAGATTTTTCTTGAAATTGCGCGCGGACGGAGTCACGGGCGGCGCTAGTGTTCTATGAAATATGTTTTTTTATTTCAGTGCCCATATGTATGCCACCGGATGATGCAGATTTTACCAACCGCATGGCAACAGTCACGGGATGGGGCAGGCTTAAATATGGTGGTGGTGTACCAGCTATCCTTCAAGAAGTTCAGGTAATTATTATTTTTACCATCTATTGTTTTATGTCCCCCTCTCCTCGAGAGTCGGTCCCTCATGACTGAGGATCTTGGTCGGCATCAGGGTTAGTTCTGGAATAGACGATTCGCTTGCAGCGACTGCGGTTTAGTGCGTCTCTCAAGACTTCGTCGAAATGGGATGTCTGATCCTTCTCTGTTTTAGGTTAGGTGACACTAAATGTGTCCTAGCACAATATCAAACAAAATCTCTATGTAAAATTTCGAGGAATAACTGTAGTAATTTATCTTAAAAATAGGATTTTGCAGATTTATTTCAGTCTCAAGTCAGTTTCATCTCAAATCAGATTTAGTTCAAGTAGTAGAGACAATCTGATAATATATTGCTCATGTATTCCTTATGTATTAAATCTGATATAATGTATCTTATATATTACTTATGTATTCCAGGTGCCAGTGATGGAGAACAGTCATTGCCAGTACATGTTCCAAACAGCTGGACACGCAAAGAAAATACTTGACTCATTCATCTGCGCTGGATATTCTAATGGGAAGAAGGACTCTTGTGAGGTAATTGTTTCTTGATAATTATATTCTTTAAAAGGAAACTATGTTGTTCATCATGTAGATGTAATCGTTGCAAATAAAAATATTTGCTATTAAAAATGTTTGTATCACTTGAAGTGAAAAGTTTTAATGGCTTCAAAACACACAATGGTCATAAAATTTATGAAAAGTTATATCTAATTTGAAGCTGTACTACGCAAATATTATATAAAAGTTTATTATGACATTCGTCAAGAAAAGAGAAGAGGAAAGTAGTAACTAGCGATTATTAGAATAAACATTAACTGTCTTAATATCACACAAATAATACATTGTTCTGGAAAATTTTACAAACTGTAATAAATAACAAAAAATATAATCGCTATATATGACAAAACAGAGATAACAATACGTTCTAAATGGAGTCTTTCGCCTTAGAAACTCACGGTTAGTGATTTAGTTAATCTATACCTAGGCTAACAAACAATAATTACCACTAATAAATTGAAATACATATTTCCAGGGTGACAGCGGCGGTCCCTTGGTGGTGAGGAATGATGATGGTAGATGGGTATTAGTTGGCACTGTATCACACGGAATTAAATGCGCAGCGAGATTTCTACCCGGCGTCTATATGAGAACTACATACTATAAACCATGGTTTAGAAGTATCACTGGAGTTAAATGAATACATTAAGTGCTGGATTATGACCTAGAATTATCGGTTTGAATACCTTTAACTAAAACTCAAAAGCCACAACTTTCAGTCAAAGGAATGCTCAAAATTTAAAATTATACAATTCAAAACTTTCTAATGATTTTGAATTAAAATGTTTTTACAATTTTGAAATACTCACACGACTTTAAAACACCTCTATTCCTATTAAACATATTTGAATTGCAAGAATGTATATTAAATTTGTTAATTTTGACCCAAAAATAAAAGATTTACGAGTATTTATCACGCATAATTTTCCACCAAATAACTAAGCCATTATCTTGATCTAAATATTTGATTTAAAAAAGAAAACATTAAGTTGAATTAATCAAATTAATTATTAAAATTTCTACGTTGAATATCAACGTGCTCTCTAATTTACAACAGAATATAGTCAAAAATAATATAAACTTGTATTGAAAATGATCGAAAAGACACGTAAATTATAGTATATTCTGTAAAATAATATTAGTTTTAAGCTTTGTACATTAAAAGGCATTTATTTATTTAATAAAATCTTAATTTGTAAGTAAGGAACAACTAAATAATTCTACAATGACAAAGTGGACGTGTATCTTTGTATCTGTACACTATACATATATTTTAGTCGCTCAATTCATGTAAGTAGGAAAATTAAAATGACTGTTATGCATTTAATAAATATATTTAAGAAGTTTAAATACATGATGCATTATTTTACTAAAGGGGGGGGGGAAACCTTTACATTTCTTCTCTACGTTTTATCGTCTTTTGTTTTTGGATTTGAGTTTTAACTATCCATTGTTTTGTGTCGTTCTAAAATTAAAAATTAGACTAACGGACACAGTTGACTTTATTTTGTCGTAGCTGTCAGCTACTCTGTCCACGCGGTATTTAAAAAAAAATATTATCCATGCCAAATATCAGAAAGATCCACGCCGCTGTTCTGGAGAAATCTTTTAACTAAATCCATCTTCGAATTATAATAATTCTAATTTATAATATTAGTAACATACACTTAAGAAATTATTGGATTGATTAGTTAATAGAAAATGAAATCTGACGTTATCTAAAAGTCAGAAGTTATGAAAAGAGTTACAGGAGTATGCGAATTCTTTGCAAGACTAAGTTAAACTACAGTTCTTAAGTCTATAAACGATGATGATTTAAATTCAAGTTACTTTGCTCCATAAACATTTATTACATTAAAGTTGCTAATACATTTTTTTGATTACATATTTTATGCTACTTAATTAAAACTAATTTCAAACAGCTATTTACTTTGTAATTAATTATATATCCATAAATATATTTAGCAAGAAATTTCAAAAAGCCATTCGAATGTTGAAATATATAAATATAATTTTGAAATTTATTTTATTAATAATAATTTAAAATATTTTTAAGAGAACATCATAGCTTATTTATTGATATTGCACAGCAGTTTAGTAAAATGAATTATTTATAATTTTTAACGTTTTAATTTCCTATTCTAATCCTCTAAATACTTTAATATTATATTTATTTTATTGATTCAGTACAACATTGATGCTATTTACCGTAATTTAACATCGATATCAAAAAAGTATGCACATAATAAAAATTGGAATCGCCCACTTAGTAAGACCAAGACAGCTTTCTCCTTTCAGAATTCAAATCTATGCAAACAAGCTAGTTTAAGACAATTTTTATCGGTTATCAATTCTATGTATGTGTTATAAGTTACTTTTTTTTATATCATAAGGTTGCAAACGAGCGAGCGGCCACCTGAAATCGCTGAACAGCGAAGCGACCGTTGCCCATAGACATACGCAATTGCATATATGTTACCTACATTTAATTGACGGAGGAGAGGATGCACAGAAAGAAAATATTTTCCCTTCCCATGCATCCTCTCAACCGGAAAGCCCACTTCCACTTCCCATACTTTCCTTATGTGAAAAAGGGTGGGAAGGGAAAGAGAACTAAATTAGGCCTCCGAGACGCACACTCATCAGACGAAATGCGGAATTGCTTCCACTTTACGCCTGTCTTCTGTGTGGTCGTGGTATTTCACCGGGCGAGCCGGGCCGATTCGTGCGAAGATGTTAAAGCGGGCTCTACCACTGTTAAACCATAACAGAGAGCTCACTCTAATAAAATATTTATATTAAAATATTCTACGGCGTTTGTTAAGTTAAATGATATAAAGTTTAATAAAATTTACAAAACTTATCCATACAAGTTTCCATTCCCGTTTAATGTAAACATACAACAACAAAAGATAAAATATAATTAACTCATAAAATATTTCTCACATAAAATTATTTGTAACGAGTATACTTAACAACATAAACGTAAAAAAATTGTGCAAACAAAATCCCTTATGTCAATTATAAGAAACGATCCTTCATAATATAATTAAGCAACGAGAAGTTAACACTAACAAACAGTAAAATTATCAATAAAATGAAATTAATTTCATTCCATTGAATATTAGCTTATTTTTCAATTTTTCCTTTATAATGTAAGCATTTTTTGCAGATTGCATCAGCTCTATCTCTAATAGAAGGTGTGGCTACAGCTCTTCCAGATTCAGTTTTAGAATCATCGACTTCAAATGGACCTTCACTGAATTGCTGAATTAATTTCTTAATATAATTCCCCGGACCACGAATTGTTAGTTTGCTGCTAGAATCATCCGTTTTAGCTTCGACTTTCTCATTACCATCTTTCGTCTCATTCTTTTGACGGAATTCACTTAACATTTCCAAGCCATCTTGAAAATTCTCAAATGCTTGACTGATTCTATTTCCAATGTTAAGTTTCTCTTCGATAGCATCAAAATGGACAGATTTTTGTGTTTTATCAGTACCATCGTCAAATGTCTTTGAGCCAGTTGGAGTTATAGTGATTTCATTGTTCTTCATATCTATGGTTATTTTAGCATCATCTAAACTCAAGCCCATAACAGATACATCCATAGATTTGGATCTGTGAGGTTTTGTAACAGGTACTTCCAATTGATTTGTGTCTGAAACTACATCAGGCTTAGCACTGATAGATGTGGCTGGCGATGTTGACTTGGATGATTTTTCACCGGGGCTTGATCCTGAATTTTAATGATCTTTTTAAAAGAAAAGAATATGTCCAAAATTTTATGTAACTACACTATATTGTAGATGAACGTTAAAGTTTTTTTTGTTATAATACCAGATGAAGTTTAGTATTTTTTCTGGAATATATTTACCACCCAAAGAATTTCAAGGCAGTTAGTAAGAAATAAATAAAAATGTTATTAATAACATCAAAATACCAACACCAATTTTGTGCAACAATTACCTTAGTATTTTGCTCCAATTGGTGCACTCTTTGATCCTAAAATACAACATAAATTTGTAACTACAACTTGTCAACGAACACTAGCAATTGCAAAAAAAATAAACAAAAGAAGCTTACAGCTAAAAACAAAAGAAGACTGCAGCACAAAGAAACGATATGACGTTTGCAAACAAACAATCTAATGACGAAGCCCATCGAATTACAACACAATTGACAAAACAGGTGAACTAACAAAAAGAACAAGGAATAGCACATTCCTTTATTAAACCAAACCATAAATCGACTACGTCAAGACAAAAAATCAATAGCCTTTAATGATTTCATGATATGATATGAGGAGCGTCGGTGGCTCAGTGGTCAAGCACTTGACTTGCAATCTGCAGGTCCTGGGTTCGAATCCCGCCATGTACCAATGTGATTTCCGATTTACATATGTACATTTATCCGACGTTCTTACGGTGAAAGAAAACACCGTGATGCAACCTGCACATATCTGAGAAGATATTCAAAGATATGTGTGAAGTCAACCAACCCGAACTTGGCCAGCGTAGTTGACTATGGCCTAATCACCCTTAACTTAGGGTAGGCTCCGAGCCCCTCGGTGGTGACGTATAATGAGCTGATGATGATTAATGATATTATAGCAAGGGATAAAATATAATCGTCGTAAAAAATGCTACACATTTAGCATACCGGCGGAAGCCTCTTCCCTTTCATCTTCAGAGCATTGAGGAAGAGATTGCTCCATCATGAGACCCTGGACCATGTCCATGCAGGAGTCCAGTGAGAACTTCTTACCGCACATCTTGATTCCGCGGATACGTCTACGCATCTCTGGTATTATCGCATAATAAACATTTTCATATAGGAAAAATATTACAAAACATTTTGACGTTTAACAAAATCTACGTATGTATTTTTCAAGAAAACTGCAATGTATATAAGTTGAATAGGAAAAATTGCGATGAATAATATCTAAGTATTGCGAACGTGTGTTAAATATACCGAAAGCTATATTAACATGTTTGATTTAAATATTTAATTACTATGTTTTGTCAAAATAAAACGATTTCGTTCAAAGCCGTTTAAGAAACTACCGGACGAGATAAAGAAAAATAGTATTAATGTTTTCTAAAATAAAATTAATTCATATGTAACCAAACTGTAAAAATTTATTCTCAATACTATATACACATAACTTTGTCATTTCTGTCGATTTAAATTCTTGTAGTTGTCGTTTGTTTTCTATTTATATTAATCCTATATATTTTAATCCGCAAACCCATATACTATATTTACATTGATTCTCATTGTAATGGAAAATTTGTGTTTTTATGAGAACTAAAGTTTTTATAACCCATGTGATAATAGTGTATTGTACTTACCGGGACTATCTTTAGGCTCCATTTTCAGCTGAGCGAAGGTTTGCGCACAGGAGTTGAGAACTTGTTCGTAATCGCAGATAGCAACGTGGGTTCCGTTCACAATTTTAGGACTCATCGGACTATTGGCAAGAAGAAGGCTCGTTCCGAAAGTAGCGTTTAATTCACGAGTTTCTGAAGAACAATGCAAATATAAAATTAGAAACTAATTATTTGAATTTAAATTTAGAATGTTTACGTTTTCTGCAGGTTTATTTCTTGTGATTCTGTATTTGTCTATATGAACATACCTTTAAGAGAAACTCTTGGCTTCTTCGGTACGACAACATTCCCATATTCAGATCCAAACATCTCGATCAAAATTTCAGACGCAACAGCTTTGATTTCAGTCCAGTCATCTGAAAATTTATTAATTACACAATTCGATTTAAATGAATAAACTCAACTTAATTTATTCGTGTTTAGCTACAAAGGATTAAATATTTCGCCTCTTTACTACAAGTTGAGGCCAGAATTTTGAAATATGAATTGACTTGTAATCTGCAGGTCCTGGGTTCGAATCCCGCCATGTACCAATGTGTTTTTCGATTTTCGATTTACATATGTACATTGATCCGACGTTCTTACGGTGAAGGAAAACATCGTGATGCAACCTGCACATATCCGAGAAGAAATTCAAAGATATGTGTGAAGTCAACCAACCCGCAGTTGGCCAGCGTGGTTGACTATGGCCTAGTCACCCTTAACTTAGGGTAGGCTCCGAGCCCCTCGGTGGGGACATATAGTGAGCTGATGATGATGATGATATTGTGAGTAAATATAGACAATATTTTTTACAGAATTGCCCCTTACCGATGATATCCTGGTTTGTAGTCCGTTGTGACGTCACAGTGAATCGAATGACGTAAACACTTTTGAAACAAGCCGGCACGGCGTGAATGTAGCCGCGAGCATTCAGACGCTTCAGAAGACGTTCTGTCAGAGCATTGTCTCCTTTTAGACGAAATGCGACCATTCCTGTAAAATTAATTCATATTTTTAAATACAAGAACGAGATTTCCAATCAAAAGTAACTATAGGATGCTTAAATGGTAGTCCCAACACAAGTTTGTGTACCATATTTTGTTAAAGCAATATTCATTTTCATTTTCAAATATATGTACATATTTTGGAATACAAATGAACGCCGATGGCTATAAGGCTATAATGGATTACGTGAAAGTTAAAACATTAGATAGAGCCAATGGGAAAAGGAAACACGCTGTGAACACAAATAAATGTAAACAGACAAGAGAGATAATACTTTTGTTTGACAGCTAGTTGAATTTAATTTATGATTTACTATTATAAAAATTCTGTACCCAAATTCCTGCTCTGAGGTATCTCAAAACGTTGATCAGCCAACACGAGAGCTTCAAACTTTTGTGCCAACCGTACACTCTAGAACAAATACAAAAATAATGTTTTGAACTCTGTACTATAACGGTATCTTTTAATACGAAATAACAGGGACGTCATTTGTCTGTACCTCACGAATATGCTTTTGTAAACCAACTACTCCATAGTTGCGCAGGACGAACCATAACTTCAAAGCTCTAAAGCGACGGCTCAATGGTATTTGCCAATGCTGTAAAACAAAAGAAAATCGATTAAATGCTTGCTTAATTTATTTGTAGGGTAATTGTTATTGTTTTATTCTCCTTAACACTAACACATGCATTTTTAAGTTTGCTATTTAAATAAAATATTATTGTTAAGTTTTTTTGTAAGTATTTTCTAGTGTGTCACTTTGTTCCAATACTTATATGTTTAACTAATCTAACTCATATTTACAAATAAAAATGTAGTTACCGACTCAAAATATACTTATTATGTAACATTTTAATATGACTTGTAAACAATTTCAATCAACATATTTTTAGTAACCACCACAGTTATCAAGGTCAGAGCGAAGTGGAAAAGATTGGGAAAGCTAGCGCCACCACCTTGTGGGATGATAGCTAGGTAGAGATGTAGTAGCCACCACCATCTCCCCAGTTATCCAAATCACCACAATATAAAGGTTCATACGAGTGGTTCATTCTTATCAGGATTTTCTAGTTGTATATTTCCCCCGCAGCCAGGAGACATTTTACAATAGCCGTGGAGATTAGATTTGTCGTCACCATTTTCATCGAATTTATGGTGACCGTTAACACCATTAACAAGTTTTACGTTACCATTTGTATAAACACCGTTTGTTTGAATTCCAACAACTTTTTTCCTTGTATTGGATTTTTGTGATCCTACCTAATTATCCATAAAAAATAAATTTTAAATTAATTTAATTTAATTCATAATTTTATTTTTGATTAATTATTTCAATTATCATACCATATAATCGATTGCCTTTCCTGAAACAACAGAACAAAATATTAATCATTTTGAACAAATAAATAAATCATCATTTTGTAAATAAAGGTATTATTTACCGGAATTTTCATGACGTAAGTAAATCGGGTTTACATTGAAAGTCCTGTGAAGAGCAGTGCTATCTTTCACCCTGTAAATATTAAAATGAATAATAGAATAAACAAATGAAAGTGCATGAAAAAAGAGAACAATACTTTTAGAAATGATTCTCACCACATAGCGGTGCAGTCGAAATTTACCATCAACCACTTCGAAGGATTGAACGCAAATGAATCCGCTAGCTCCACTCCATCCAGCCAATGCCTAAAATGTAATAAGATTATAATGTTTAGTGCAATAAATTTATAAAACCTAGACATTGTTTAGTAGTCACGTACACATAGAAATTGTACTTCCGTGAACCTTATGATAAATCGCTTAATGTTCTGTCTTAAAAATGTACCTAAGAGTACAAAAGTAAATAAATTCAATCGTCAGTAAATCAAATTTAGACTACGAATCCAAAGAAACTAAATAAATCTTACTATCTCACTAACATTATAAATATTTGGATGTATAGATAGATGTTTGATGATTGTATGGATAGATACTTCAATGGATGTTTATTAGACGCTCCTCCCCGTAGGTCTGCAGAACGACTGCGTGAATCTCGCTGAAATTTGGCATAGATGTAGAACATAATCCGGAAGAATTCATAGGCTACTAATTAAGATTTGTTACCTCCGCTCGGACGGAATCGCGGGCGAAAACTAGTTATGATTATAAATAATTGTTTACCTATATTCAGGACAGATGAAAGCGCTGCCAGCATAAGCCGCGTCGACGTGAAGCCATGCGGAATGCTTCTCACACACCTGACCAATTTCTCGCAAGTTGTCGAATGCTACAGACCCTGTTGTACCCAAGGTCGCACATACCTAGGAAAACAAAACATAAATATCGTCAGAGTCTGTTTGTTACGTTATTAACTAAACATCTCGTTATGGTGAAAAGCTTTATACAAATTGCGTTTATCAAATCATTTAACAAACGTGTATGTAAGAGACAAAGAATTTGATAGTGAATGAGCGCTTAACATTTTTATATTGATCAAATATTACCAATAGTCCTGTTTTTTCTTTCTATCTTACTTCTTACTAATATTATAAATGCGAAAGTTTAGAAGGATGGATGTTTGTTTGAAGGTATCTCCGGAACGACTCAATGGATCTTATTTAGAATTTTAATCCGCGCGGACGGAGACGCGGGCAACAGCTAGTTATTTAATAATCTTTATGTCATAATGTAAACTATCAATGAACTAGAAATTATTAATCCATCGATGCATCTCACGTAGACGAGGCTCATTATGCACGTCAATAGGCAATTTTATATCTTAATTACGTATAAAATTAAATAGAAATCTGTTACAATGTCGATTTAATAACGTTAAAGAAAATAACATACTTTGTCTCGTTTACCTTAGCCTTCGAGAATATATTCTTTAAAAAAAAAAACATACATACGCAATTGCATACGCGTTGCCTACCTTTAATCGACGGAGGAGAGGATGCACAGAAAGAAAACATTTCCATGCATCTTCTCATCCGGAATGTCTACTTCCACTTCCCATCCTTTCCTTGTAAGAAAAAGGGTAGGAAGGGAAAGAGGACTAAATTAGGCCTCCGGGGACTAAATTAGGCCTCCGGTGACTAAATTAGGCCACCTAGAGTCGACGTGTACGACACATAATTATGTATTTTTAATTGTAATCTGTAATTGTAAACTGTAATCTTGAGCGCATTTTAAAATGCATAATATAAAAATTTACATTTAAAAATATGCATTTTAAATGAAACTTATTTGTTACATTTCCGCGGCTCTCTTATTACTTGTTCTTGTACTAATGATTCCCTTCCATAATCTCTGCAATACAAATTGGCCCCAGTGGGAGCTGCTATACTTCGCCTTGTATTAAAATGTAAACAACTAATCTCTCTATAATGATAGCTTTGAGTGCTTCTGAAGATGTTATTTTTAAATGATCTCATGGGAGAGTTATATAAAAGGCATTTCATAAATGAAGTCGTAAATTTTCATTTTTAAAGAGATATTTATAATTTATTATAAATAAAATAAATTCTTTCTTTTAAAACAAAAGAATAATTTAGTTAAAAATGTTACTAATATTAATTACATTAAATATGAATGTTTGTTTGAAGGTACCTCCGAACGGCTGAACGGATCTTGATGATATTTGAAATACATATAGAACATAGTCTGGAAGAACATATAGACTACTAATTAGTTTATACCGCACGGATGGAGTCGCAGGCGACCGCTAGTAAGAATTAATGCAAAAAATATGACAATACTCACCCAAAAAGGCACAAGTCCTTTGGACTTGTCGTTAAGGATTGCTTCTTCAAGTTTGTCTCCGCGCATGCTCTGGTTTGCGTCTGACTCGATATATCGCATTCGCACCAAACCTTAAATAATAATAAACAACTGAAACTTTTTCCATCTTTCATCAAACGTATTATAATGATAATTCTAGGGTACGTGTAAATGACATAAAAGCGTGAAATTGACAGTTCTCAAACTACCGTGATTATAACAAAAATTTGCGTCTACCTTCCTTGTGTTAATTAAAAAGGCATTAAAAAGCATAGACATAATACTTTTTAAAAAGTGATACCATATTTATGCATTAAATATCTACCAAAAAAACAAAAACCAATATGATGAAAAATAATAATTTCGTAATATTTTTAAGCAATACAATTTTTAAGAAATTATGTCATTAAAAAACTAACCAATCAGGCCGGCTTTTTCCACCGACGAATGAGCTTGGTCAGAGCAATAGCAGATGAGGTGACCGAGAAGTTCGGAAGATTGAAGATCCGTATTCAGTTTTGACAGCTCCATCAGTGCTCTAGTGCGTGCCGCGAGCAAACTTACCAAAGTTGCCTCACTCGCTGTTGTCTAAATAAGACAATGTAAAGACAAAAATTAACACATTACTTATCCGTAAACAAAATGCAGTAAATTGAACATGATATACCCTAGTTTTCTGAGAACAAAGTCTCGTTGAAAACCTATTTTTATCTCTGTTTTATCAAATATGAAAGAAAGGGATGACGATATATTTTATATAGCGATTTGGTGTCAGAAATATGTATGAAATTAAATTGTGGTCATTGTATTCTATTCTTTGATATTCTATATAATATATTTTAACCATTATAATGATGAAATTACCTGAATAACTCCACCTCCAGGACTATCATTTTTTTCATTAAGAAAACAGTCGGGAAGTCCCAGCACTTTCCCTAACCAGTTCATGGCAATTGTCTCCAATTCAGTTCCGGCAGGAGACGAAGCCTGTATCAAACAGTTTTGACAATAATTATTAAGACTTTAGTGAACAGAAAATATGAACCTCTTAAGAAATACCATTCCAATTTCAAAAGATATTTGACCATTAGAATGCTACGAAAAAAAAACATAGAATGATATAGGTTAGAATTACTAGTAGCATAAAATATATTATAAGAAAAAATAGTATCCAACAGCAAGAAACTGTGGCGAGCCTAGTGACCTGGACACGTAATATTGTTATAAATATTTTTTTTATTTTAAATACAAAATATATTTTAAAATGCTGAAACACAAACTTACCCAAGTAAAACATAGAACATTCAAAGCGCTGGACAGCATTTCCCCCATTATAGAAGGATAGCAAGTGAGAGCTGGAAAATACGCATGCATATGCGGACTCTGCCAATGTACAATCTGTAAACAAAAGAGTAACTAATTTATTTTGAACATAGGATGCTACTCATTATATTTGTACTAACGTCTCCTGGAGAGTAAACTACACGGTAATTTCGGAAGAATTGTAAATATTTATTCCTAAAAGACACACCACTGCCAAGTTAATATAACCTCAAAAATAATGTAGTACATCTTTGTTATGACAATTATTTTTAATAACTTATTACTACTTTATACTTCCACGGACTAATTTAAGTGGTAATAAACATACCCCGGGCATAATATGTTCTTCAACATCTTTAAAGATATCATCCCATTTCTCTGGTAAATGAGGAGCTTCGTTAGGTAACCGCTTGTGTAGATACCCGGGCTGCACGCTGGGGTACACGCGCCTGTCTCTGATGTTCTCCAAATAGTCCGCTATGTAGTCCACCATCTCTTTTGCTGTTTACATTATTAAAATTAATTTGATTATCATAAAGTGGGTAGAAATTATGCACGATCGAAATTTAAATTCATCTGGATTGTTTATAATTCATTGTTTCTTTAAGTTGCTTAACACAAAGCCGTACGGGTGTGTTTTTATCGTCACGTTAAAACTTAGCTTTAACGACACTCATGCGATGAATCCTTTAAAATCTCTCTTGTTCCTTTCGTCCAAAGCTCTGAATTTAACACCTCGGAATAAAAAAAAATCGTCGCGTTTAAAAATAGCTGCCGTATGAACACATATGTACTTGGAAATGCACTTGTTCTAATTGAACGTTTTTTAACGCGTGACAAAAAAGCGCTCGTGCGAGTCATGCTTCGCGCAATAGCGATCAAAAATCATGATCTCTTATATAAAGGGTTGTTGAAGTTATTTTCATTAGACATCTTTAATGTAATTAATAGTTTCGTACCTTAACTTTGGTAGTAATAAACTTAGACTTACACGTTTTAAATAAAAGATTAAAAAAATCAAATTAATTAAGTCCTACATGACTTACAAAAGGCTTCAAAGGCACCTTCAAATGTCTATTAACAATACGCAAAGAAAAAACTAAAAAAAAATAATTAAACGAACAGTAGAGAGCTATACAAAGAAACTATCCAATTAATCGAACAACTGCGCCCTACAACTTACGAATGCCGACAGATAAGAATATAAATTAAATTAAAAAATAAAAATTTATTTATTTATTAATTAATAATAATCAATCGGAAAATAAAATTAATAAAAAAAAATATTTATTTGAAATTTATTGATTAATTCGAAGTAACGACAGAGGAAAATTAAAAACATTAGATATTTTATTACTTTTTGATGTATATTTTAATTTCAAACATCGTATTTGCCATGGAAAAAAAATTGTAAATCGTACTTTTTTCATCTGTAATTTATTTATTATCAATTAGTACTGTATCATAGATACACTATATTCAAATACATCGAAATAAATATCTAAGAAAAATCATCGTATTACATTTGTTCAAATGAAAAGATTCAGGATATATTGCCCATAAAAGAGGTTTACAGTTAACTGACAAACGACTCAATAAGTGAACATTTTAACATAGCGCAAATACATCGGGATCAATCGGAGCTCATTTTATTTTATTATGTACAGTATATTGAATTGCGAATGATCCTAGTTTTTTTATATGAAGACAGGGACCGAACCGGAGGACGTATTTCTAACTTCACAATGTTACAGTTCAAAAATAAAATGTATATTATATCATAGATTTTGTAAATTTAGTGCTTCAACTCGTCTGATTTACCTATTATTTATTTATAGATTTATTGCATGCGTTGCCTACCTTCAATTAACGGAGAGGGTACGCATAGAAAGAGAATAATTCCTCTTCCTATGCGTCCCTTCTTCTGTCCACTTCCCATACTTTCCTTATAAGAAAACAGGTGGGAGGGGAAGGGAGATTTTTTTTCTGTTTATTTTTTACTTTTTTAGATTTTTAAATCATGAGTATCATTAAAAACCCTTCGATTATTTTATCATAACCCTTAATAAGATGGTGTCCAGTGCGACGAACAACTAATTAAAAAAATCTACTGGACTAGTTTAGAGAGAATTACTTAAGTATGACTTTACTAAAAAAAAAAAAAACAGTTTTTTTTTGCTATAAAAAATTTCGTCGAAATAAGGTTTGATGCAATCAATGGTTTAGAAATACGCAGCATACGAACTTTAATTTTGAAACTAGATATTAAACATTCTGACATTCGGGAAGACATAACACCGGATAAAAATGTGGTTACCTTTTGAATTAAACCACAATTCTAGGTTATACTATTTTATATGTTGTAGAGGGAGGTACTAAGTTCTAGGTAAAAGTTGATTTAAAATTTAATCAATGTCATGAGACACGGCGGATTACTTTATTCAATAATCATTCGTATAATGACAACTTTACCTAATGAAATTACAGCGCGAGGGAACAAGTTCGAGTAATTATAAAGCAAAGTGTCATGAGTTGTCATGGCCAGTACACCTGGGGATGTTATAATTATTATGTGCAAAAAAATATTCTGTCAGAAATGTATATCTGTGTATTGTAATATTTGACGTAAAAAAAATTATTGTCAATACTGTTTTTTTTTTATCTTGTAACACTATACAATTTAGCTATATTGAAGGTAGATTAATAGAATTCTTAAGTTAAATAACAAATACGTACCTTTTACACGAAATTCCTTGTGATCCATTTCGATTAGTTGTTTTATCTGCAACAAATATATCCAAGTAAGTTTGTTTTTTTTAAATATATGGAAATTCTACATTTCTTTTGTATATTTAATACACAAGTATTATTTAACATCCTATATGTTAGTATTTACAATGATATTTTGACACAAAATTACTTTGAATTTATTTATTTTTACTATAGTATAACTAGTTATAAGTGGATATTTTTAATTTAAGAAAATATCTTATATATGAAAAGGAAATTGGTAGTTATACTATTTATAACTCAAGAACGGCTTTACCGATATGGCTGAAAAATGTAGGTGGGTGAGGATGTATGTAGCTTAGAGCCAGGAGACAGACATAGGATACTATTTATTCTTTTTTTCGAATTTATGCCTTGAAGAGCTGCTTTTTATTTACCCTACTAATATTATAAATGCGAATGTTTAGATGGATGTGATGTGGATGGATGGGTCGGCTTCACTTATTCAGTTTTTTACATATCCACGCTGACGGAGTCGCGGGCGACAGTTAGTTTTAAATAAAAATTTAAATTTCTTTTTAAATTTTTAGCACAGATTAAAAAAATGTTCTTATATCTTATTCAAATTATTTGCAATGTTCTATACATAGAAGTTAATAGCACTCAAATAATAAAATATCGTAGAATTTTGTTTCCCAACTCTACAATGCAAAAGACTGGAATGAAATGGGTCAAACACTAAACTCGTGTGACTTCAAAAGTGAGAAATTTTGTGAAGTATGTCGAAATATTAGTATTACTAAGTAATTGATAAAATTATACAACAACAATACCACTTACTAAAAAATACTTGAGTCCCTTTTCAACCACACTTAAACGAAATATGTTTTTTTTTCACCACCAAATCGTACTATCAACTGAAATAGAACTGTAGGCAATGTTTCGCGTTTAACAAATAAGCCGAGTCTATCTCACATGTCGTTGTTTAAGTCATATCGACATTTTTTCTATGGCTTCGTTTACGTGTAGTGGAAGTGGTATAAAGTAGTGTGTTCCACTAGGGACTGACCTAGGACCCAATTTCTTCTATACAATTTGAGGGATTTAAAATCAAAATACTTTTATTTCTTTTAATGAGTTATATTGTACGTTTGATTTCAGTATCAAGGATCGGAATACGCAATAAGAGGACAACGAAGCAATTCTTTTATTGAGTGGTAGTACTCAGGGTAGTAAGAAAAAATTGGACGATGACATCATGAATCACAGGAATGTCATGGAGCTTGGAACAAAGTAACGCCAGAAAAGAATGGTTGGTAAAGCATGATCTTTTTATGATTATTTAATCTTACTAATATTATAAATGAGAATGTTTGGGCGTTTATTTGTTTGAAGGTATCTCCAGAATATCTCAACTGATGTCGATGAAATTTGGCATACATGTTGAACATAGCCTGGAAGAACACAGGCTACTAATTAAGTTTTTTTTAATTCCGCGCGGATGGTGTCGCAGGCGGCAGCTAGTTATTTAATATCAATCTATTTATTTTTTATCAATGAATAAGCTAGGCCTAAGTACAATCTTAACATATCTTGTTTTTGTCACAATTCTGTACATAGGAAGGATTAAGTTACAGTCACAGTAGGTTTCTGCGATCCAAATTTCTGTATAATATATGTAATACATTAACATAACATCACTGTCATTGTCTTTGCTAAAACAGAGATAAAAACATGTTCTAAACGATGTTTATGTCTCAGAAACTCATGATTAGAGTTTTAAATTGAAACAAATCAAACATCGCCCCGCGGAATAGAACAAATATAACCAAGAAAGCGATTGCTATGTGAAAATGACAAATCCTCACGGATAAATGTATAAAAATAAAACGAAGTGTTCCAGCTGCTGTCGTCTCGTGATTTATTGTCTATTGAGTTGATTATATATCAGGTTATTTAAACAAATCTCTATAATACTTAAAGACATTGTTATTAGAAACGTATAAAATTATTTAATTGTATTTGAGCTTGTCCGATAATAAAATTAGAATTTGAGTTATCGTTAGTTTCTCCAAAATTCAATTCTGTTTTATCAAAGATAATGATAGGAATGACGAAATGTTTTAAACAGGAATTTTGGTGTCAAAAACCAGTCTTAAAAACTTGACTGATACGGTATCGAATTTTGGAAATTTAAAAGAGAATTTTTGAAATTTCAGTTTATAAGAAAACATGAAAACATGCTTCACATAAAAGAGATACCAGTGGCCGATGAGCCTGCAATGATGAGGGGTTGATGAGAAAGATTAATGTCATACCCCAGGATGACATCGCTTCTGTATTTTATTCTCAAGGTAATATCTTTGAATATAAATTGTAGTAATAATTATCAATACTTAAGTTATTCTATCTATAATTTTGTGAATGAAATTCCCTATTTTATCGTCTTTTAACAATTTAAGGTAGTTCTTTATATTGAAAATAATCCTAACTCGTTGTTAAGTTTGTATAACTTAATTTTAAAAGCAATGAATAATAGTAGATTTACTTGTATTTATGTTTTAAAGTTATCGAGCTAAATTAAATGTGCAAGGTTCTCCTAAATGAGTTAAAACTCCTAAACGTTGAAATCACCTATATCTAAAATTGGTATGTTTTCTGAAAACATTTTTTATAGATTATTAATTCCACAAATCTCATATTAAAATAATTTTTATAATTAGAAAAAATTAAAAAGAAAACGGATCTTTTTAAACAAATTGAAATATACTCACAGTATCAGAATCTTCAATAATTTCACGGAATGTCGAATTGTTTTTTTTAATGTTAAATATTCTTTAAATACAGGACGTTCAGTTAACACTGGGAGTCGGTGGCGTAGTGTAACGCTTATATAGGGGGTGGCTACGCGACGAATGGATAGACTTGTCGTTGGATCAAAAAGGGCTCGACCTTAGTGTTGCACTGAAGCGGGTAATATTAAGGTACCGTAAAATTATCTTCTCTGTCTTACTAATATTATAAATGCGAATGTTTAGATGGATGGATGTTTGTTTGAAGGTATCTCCAGAACGGATCAACGGATATCTATAAAATTTGGCATAGATGTAGAACATAGTCTGTAAAAAGACATAGGCTACTAATTAAGTTTTTTTTTTATTTCGCGTATACGCAGTCGCGGGCGATAGCTAGTGTATTATGAATGCGAATCTTTAGGTGGATATATGAAAGATTGAAGGTATATCCAGAACGATTCAACGAATATCGATGAAATTTGGCGCAGATGTAGAATATAGCCTAGAAGACCACACAGGCTACTACTTAAGTTTATTTTTATATTCGAGAATATTTGGGAGCCACAGCCAGTTGAAAATAAATCAGAAGTATTATAGGATTAAACTGATATATAAACACGGCTAAACACTCACGTATATTCGTCCGGTGACGGCACCGACTAGTTTCGAGCCCATCGGAGGCCCTTCATCAGGATGAGTGGTACTGGTATTATTTCAAAGACGCGGCCCGTCGCTCACACACGAATATACGTTAGTGTTTAGCCGGGTTTTATATCAGTTTAGTATAATGTCTCACGAAAGTTTTAAAAAAATAATGTACTGAGTAGTGTAATTAATTGTAATCCGCTTCATCTTATGCACTATACGCATTCCAACAGCTGGAGGACACCGAACTAGAAAAATGTTCGCCGTAAATACTTTTAATAAATTTTCCGGTTGAACTTCAAAAGATTATAAGATCATTATCTGTGATATGAAAATGCATATTAGAATATCATAACATAACCTCACATTCATATCTTACATGTTTAATCTATAAATGAACTGTTAAAATAACTCTTCATTTTTTTTATAGTTTTTGACACAGTTTCGTATATTTAAGTGTGCCAAGATCAAATATAATTTAATGAAAAATTTATTTTTCTTTTTTTTTAGAAAATTTTAAATGGTTTTATATTTGACCATTACAAGGGAACAAATAACAGCAGATTATAACGACATATTTCTTTATAAATGTATTATATATCTTGAAATTTATACGTTATCTTAATATTATAAAAGAGAATGTTTGGATGGATGTTTATTAGAAGGTAATTCCGGAATTGTTTAAGAGATCTTGATGAAATTTGGCATAGATATAGAACATAGTCTGGAAGAACACATAGGATACTTATGATTTTTTTTTATTCCGCGCATTTTTTTTACAGTCGCGGGTGACAGTCATATCAAATAATATGTTGCAATTGAATTAAAAAATATAATGTATTCTTCAAGCTTTATCCGCTTAACAGCTAATAAAAATGCACTTGCCACATATCAATTATTGCTTTATACGGCTTCATCTTTCACGGAATTAATAAAACATTTTATAGACAAGGGATTTGAAAGGATTTATTGAATGCAATAGAATAGAGCAACAGTAAGCGGATTTTTTTTTTATCATAAGGTGGCAAACGAGCGAGCGACCACCTGAAATCGCTGAAATAGCGAAGTGGCCGTTGCCCATAGACATACGCAATTGCATATGCGTTGCCTACCTTTAATCGACGGAAGAGAGGATGCACAGAAAGAAAACAAATTCCCTTTCTATGGATCCTCTCATCCGGAAAGTCCACTTCCACTTCCCCTACTTTCCTTATAAGAAAAAGGGTGGGAAGGCAAAGAGCACTAAATTAGGCCTCCGGGACGCACACTCATCAGACGAAACGCGGAATTGCTTCCACTTCATGCCTGTCTTCTGTGTGGTCGTGGTATTTCACCGGGCGAGCCGGGCCAATTCGTGCGAAGATGTTAAAGCGGGCTCTAAAATTGATTGATTGGATTGAATTAAAATCATTATTTATGCTGTTCCCATCCAAACCCTTAACTAAACACCTACTGGTCTTGACAATAAATCTTATATATTCCAAAATATGTCTGAAAAAAGTAATACTCTTGGGCAAATGAGCTTGCAGCCACGCAAATTAGCCTAAATATCAAGGCGATCGCTGCATTGCAGAGCGTTGCGTATCTTTCATGGACAGAGGAAGGGATGTACAGAAAGAAAAAAATTCCTGTTACTATGTTTCAAATCCACCTCCCCATCCCATCTTTTCTTTATAAGAAAAGGGGAAGGGAAAAAGGACTAGAATTAGACCTATGGCACACCCACTCATCAGATGAAATGCGGGATTGCTTCTACCTCACGCGTTTCTTCTTTATGGTCGTCAGTGATGCAATAGCACCCTGCGAGCACATTCGTGTCACTGGTGTTGTTGGCGTCTACCACTATTAAAACTGTATGGAATTTGACGTTCCTCTATTTAGTTAATTTCGGCTTTGGATTAAAATGAGGTATATCAACATCTCCTGAGTCAGTCAAGTGAAAACATCTTTACTTCATTCCCTAGTTTTCTACATCTTTTAATGTGTTTCTTCGTAACACAATTTCAAGGTCAAATAATCATATTTCATTCAACATTGTAAACAAATTATTATCTTTATTCATAGATGGCTATTAAGATTATTTCCAACTTTAACTAATAAATAACTAATATGATTATTTAATATATTCCCTATGACCACGTAACGCAGATTTTAAGCAGATATAGATCTTTGTTTAACATAATGTGTATCAAAAACAAATGACGAATTTTATTTACGTTAATGGGTTCTGACTGTCACGAAACTTGAAGACATGTTTTTGTCTCTGTTTTTTCAAAGAGAATATGAGGGACAATAATATGTTTTAATATAGTTAAAACCCACAGTCATGTAGGATTACACAGACATGCCCATAATTTAAAGTCAAAGATTTTATAAATATAGATATTATAAAAATAGCTTTCATTTTCACACCATCGATCTTCCCTCCATTTCCCATTAAAAAGAAGAGATACCGCGCTTAATGTATAATATTTTTCGGTAAATCCAAAAGCTACCAAGATAAATCCAAAATGACTGCCGTCACAAAATGTCGTATGACATTTTTGTACAAACATCTCAACTTGGGTATCATATCAAAATATTTGACTAATAGAATACATTTTAAAACATTAACCGGGATTTTGAAAATATAATCCTAAAAATACTTAAGAATTGGCTTTTATTATAATATATTTACTTAAATTGCTTATATTGCTATCTTAACTTTCTTGTAATCTTAATGTTGTAACTTAAAACTAGATGGCGTTGTATTAAATGTTATTTATTATAAGAAATAACATACTATCACATTTCATTCTTTTGTTATCCCTCCCTTATGTTGTCCCTCAGTGTGGACTTTTTAAAAAAAGAAATATTTTTTTTTACTTCATAATAACATCATGCTTAAGGAGGGTTACCTCCACACTGCTATTATACTAGTTAACTTTGAATCGTGGATAATGGGAACCTAACAGAAATAATTGTGACAATAGCCATCGTATCGTTATCGACAAAATTTGTACAGCGCCTCTATCGGGCGTAAAGTACACTAAAAAAGCCATACTAATTTTGACTAATTGACGATAAGGATACGATGGCAATTGTCACAAATATTCGTACTAGAGCCACTGTTGTCTCAATCTTCGATAACAATAGTGATTACAACATATGTTATGTTGTTTAAATACACCTTGGTCTTAAGGTTCATAAGTCACCTTGGTCAATTATCGCTATTAGTAAGATGACATGGCGTATACATGCATGACGTGCAAATATCCTATTTAACACTATTTTTTTTATTTTGCTAGCGTAGAGTTCACAATACTAGGATACCCCTATTATCAAAATACTGGCAACCAAGAAAACAATGTTTTGGTTCGTTTTTCCACTTTTTGTACACGCCATTACGCCATTGGCTTCAAATCCAATATTTTTGTAAGCGGTATTGGAATAAAAGGTAATAAATTTTCTATAAAGAATTATTTTTATTTAAAAGAAAAAAAAAGAATACAAAGCAAGAGAACACATTGAAAAAATTTAAACTCTAATGGATTATTTATTTACATTTCACGAATACTTATTCTGTTTTTACCCTATTTTAGTTCAAAAATGAATATAATATTAAGTACTTAAATAGTAAGATTAATATAAAACTTGCACAATTTTTGTGACAATTTGAATTTGTCATTAAACCTAGATATAAAATATCAAATTCTCATTTACTAAGACAAAGTCCATGATGTTAGAAAGTATTTATCAACTTTTTTATCATTTCAACAGATTCATTGTGTCCAATACTTTCAATATAAGATGTAGCCTTTTTCGCATGATCCTCGTACAACATTTTAGTTTTATCAACAGCATCTGTTTTTAAAATATTAAATTTCAAATCTTCATAATCTACATCCTTCACGTCATTTTTAGCTTGATCAATTATCTTATACAAATCTGGATTACCTTCTAAAGCGAACAGAACTGGTGCACTAGCCAAACAAAACCTATCTTTACTCTCTGATGTAAGGCTTTGTAACTCTGTAGCCGCTTGCCAAGCTAAACCCACATGACATCCAAAGTAATACGCGTTATTCTGCGTTTCCCTATGTTGTTTAGCAAGAAGCATTGTTGATTGACATGCTCTTCCAAGTAAACTGACTCCATTAAAAACAGTTCTAGCTGTCCATTCCTTTCTTGGCTTTCCTAATACATCGTCAACTGCTATAGTAGTTGTATCAAATGTAATCATATCATCGCTAGTACGTCTAGGCTTACCGGGTAATGGCATATTTTGTTCATCTCTGTCTCCAAAGAATTCTCCTTCGGACAAATCTTTTAAACCTGATGATACTATGTATAGAACATCAGCGTTTTTAAGACCAGCTAACATTGTGTTAGCTGTTACTAAAAGATAATCACCAAGAAGTATGGCGATTTTGTTCCCGAAAATAGCAGATTCTGTACTCTTGGATCGTTTCGCAAAGGGCACGTTGACTATACCTCGATGAATCAAATGGCCTGTTCTCATTAATTCTATAAGTTCTGCTAATGCCCTTTGCTGTTCGTCTATGACTTTTGCTTGTGTAGTCGGAATTTGTGTATTTACAGATTTCGATAATAATAGTATAATGAGGCCCCAAGGTTGCAAATTTTTAGAATCACCATATAAGACGTTCTTCGCAGTTTGCATAACCAAATGATTACTGCCAACCTGAAATAATATAAGGTATGCTTATTACCGTTTTATCTCAATGAAATGTAGTCGGTATATCATATACTTTTTCATACAAATAGCTGTCGCCCACGACTCTGTCCGCACTGAATTAAAAAAAAGGGTCTTGTCAGACGGACGGGCAACAAAGTGATCTAAAAGGGTTCTGTTTCCTATGTGCCACGGAACCTTAAAAACTTAATTAGTCGCCTGTGTTCTTCCAGGCTATGTTCTGTATTTCAGCAAGATCTATGCAGCAGTTCTGAACATTGTGACAAACATTTATCCATTCATCCAAATATTCTCATGTATAATATTAGTAAGATGAAAAATAAGTAGGATTGAATTCTGAACTTAATGATTCGCTATAAAAATCAGTCTACAAAACGACACATATTTCATATACTAGTAACATAGAATTTTGAATAATAATAATTTGAAATTCACTAGAACTAAGCGAGTCATTGATAAATTAAAAGATTAATTTATGAATGAGATAAAATTAAGATTTTTTTTATATCATAAGGCGGCAAACGAGCGAGCGACCACCTGAAATCGCTGAAATAGCGAAGTGACCGTTGCCCATAGACTTACGCAATTGCATAAGCATTGCCTACCTTTAATCTACGGAGGAGAGGATGCACAGAAAAAAAAATTCCCTTTCCATGCATCCTCTCATCCGGAAAGTCCACTTCCACTTCCTATCCTTTCCTTATAAGAAAAAGGGTGGGAAGGGAAAGAGGACTAAATAAGGTCTCCGGGACGCACACTCATCAGACGAAACGCGGAATTGCTTCCACTTGACGCCTGTCTTCTGTGTGGTCGTGGTATTTCACCGTGCGAGCCGGGCCAATTCGTGCGAAGATGTTAAAGCGGGCTCTACCACTGTTAGAATTGGATTTATTGGAAGTTGAGTACAGTCATTTGTTACAGTTGATTGCAACAACTTTTCCATTTCCATTAAGTATCTGTGTCACAGTTAATTTGCTCTGTGGCGTGAAAGTTATACTTTCGTAAAACATTTTAACTTAAAATAAATCCTTAACTTAACTAAAAAATATCCTGTGCTTAGATATTTCTTGCGACTTAACATTATAGAACCTAGAATGAACCCTGTCGTCTATCATTTCATCATTTCAATTTTAATTTTAATTACCGTACTTCTTATAAATATAATAAAAGCGAATGTTTGGATGGATGGATGGATATTTGTTTGAAGGTATTTCTAGAATGGCTGAAGGGATCCAGCTGAAAATTGACATAGATGTAGAACATAGTCTGGAATAGCACGTAGGCTGCTTAGTATTTTTTTTATTCCAACCGGACGGTGTCGCAGGCGACAGCTAGTCTAGCTTATATCGACGATATTTTTAATGAAATTGTTTAAAAATACCAGGATAGATTCATAAAAACTTTGGTGGATATAGACCTAGAAAATTTAATGTTTTAAACTATTAAATTGATTTTTTAACTTCATGGAAATAAAATATCTAATAATTATTATAATAAGCATCTTTTATGTATTATTTACTTCATTCCAATATAGTGCTTTACTACATAATAAAATATATAAATATACCACGATTAGATTATAAAAAACATTATTATATACTAACAAATATATAACATTTATTACATTACACAGATGATATAATTTTATATTCAAAAACTCACCAACTTCCGTAAATAAAGCGCCAAATTTGCAAACTCGTCGCTCAGTAAACATCGTAAATTCATAAACGAAGTCGGATATCCGACCACTTTCTCCGCTTCTCGCGTTAAATTGCTCCAATTCGTGAAAGGTGGTCGGAGTAGAATTAATATTTCGTCCTTTGTTAGATTAGCCATTGTCGATTCGTACCTTTTTTGAAAAAGGAACGAAGACGTACGTCTCAAAACGCGGGAAACGGTGTATGATACCGCCATAGCTGGGTTATTTTCTTCTATTGACTTGTACGGCCGACTGTGCGTGCAGTTAGCGGTTAAATGTGCCGGTAATTTTAGTGTTGTCAGTTTTAAATCGGTTCTTTTTGTGTTTCCTTGAACGGGGAACAAAATTGTGTTGTCGCATGTTTAATTAGTATAGATCTATTCATCGTCTCTGGTTATACTTAAATGGTTAGTTTGTTTGTGTTTGATCCTGTATTAAAAATCTTACCTCACTTTGTATTCTTTTTCAAATTCTTGATTTTTTTTTAATTTTTCAAAAATCTCTCCTACAATGTTATATTAATGTTATTTTTTTTTTGTTTTTTAATTCTAAACTATCATATAATAAAAATTTTAATCACTTTTACATTTACATACTATGAGAAATATAAATAAAAAAATAGTAAAATTAAAAACATGACTGAAATCTATTCAAAAATTCCCTATTATATTGAAATTACTACCCATACTGGCAACACTAATAGTCTTGACCATGAAAAGTGGAACACAGCATTAGTCTGATCATTCTATGAAGCGACTGTAAACAAACAAACATACTTCGGTGTCTATAAATCAATAAACCGCTCAAATTTAGCCCCTGTCACATTACTATACAGCCTATAGTTAAATCACAACGCTTCAAATCTATCTTTGATAGCCAAAGAAAGTGTCCAACGTAAAATGAGCCATAACTCCAAGAGATAAATGCATGATACATTACTGAATAGACATCATTGTAGGCTAGTTTATGGGTCTTTGCATTTTGGTCGATACGTCGAGATTCTTTTTTCGAAAGTTTAAATCTATTCGAACGTTAACGGCCGTTGGTCAGTAACCTGTCATTTCTCCTACAGGCTTTGTTGACCTTGAAATATTGAATTTCTCAATCCTGTTATACATTAGCTGTTGCCCGCATTCCGTCCGCACGGGATAAAAAAAAAGTAGTCGATATGTTCATCCAGATTATGGCCTACATCTGTGCCAAATTTCATATAGATCCAATAAGCCGTTCCGAAGATACCTTCAAACAAACCTCCATCTATCAAACTAAATAAAACGGACCAAATAAAAATAAAACAAAACCAGTATATACTACAAAATATATAATTTTATTACTAAATTATTATTTGATCAGATTTTAACAATATACAATAATAAGTAAAAAACAATCAAGTTTTTATCGTTACTTAAAATTTTTAATTTCACGTATATATACATATATGTATTTACTTCTTTTAATTTACACAAGCATAATATATCAAAATGTACATTCAGTTATATATTCATACATCACATATTTAACCATTACCCTGTTTACGAAATCACTCCATTACTCTTCCACCTATTCGAGGAAAAACTTCGAATTACCAACATAATAAATCTTTATATTGGGAAATAATATCATAGTGGTTTCTTATTTATATATTTTCCATGTACAATATTATTTAATTTCCATTGCATGAAGTATGAGAATATCTTAATAAATAACATAACAGCACAAATAATCGGAAAGTAAATTGTTCCATAGGCCTTTGTTAATACTGGATAGATCCACATACCTCGTTCTAAATATGTGTACGTTAATCTGAAAGAGAAATTAATATATAAGAATATATAAATAATAAATAACTATAAAATAAAATTCGATTCTTGTAAGTATAAATATTTATCATCTGTGTTTGTTTAAGTATTTTTTTTCTTTTCGACGTGTTGCTTTAAAAGGAGCTAAAACTGTATCCCTTTGCACTCAACCCGCAAGAATTTTGGAGGCACAACATATGTTAGCAATATTGATTTTCCTAAACTTTTTGGTGCCTACTTTGGTAGATAACCACAAAACATAGAGCCTGTTTACCTACTTTTAGACATTATTAGTTAGATTCCTTTGGCGCGAATGGCGTGCTTTCGTTACCAAGCCAAGTGTCAGAATGATTCGTGAGGGGACATAAACGTCGACATTTTAGTAAGGCTAGTGTTGTTCCAGTACACCGGCACAGTGTCGGATTTTCTTTGTAACACTACTTTTAACAGAAATAAACAATATTTAATACTTACACTAGTAAATAAACAAAAAGATGAAACACACTATGCGCGACATATCTTAAATGTGACTTGGGTTCGAGCCTCGGTCGAAACAGAAGTTCCCAAAGCACAACTGGCACTATAGCTGTGTGTATCACGTGGTTAGATATCGGGGTCAGCACTTTGTCTATACTTGCCGGAAGAATGAGATCCCTATTGTAAAGGAATAACGACCAAAATACTGTGAAAACAAGCTGAAATAAAATAATGTGACGATTAGTAATTTGATGCAGTCTATTTTTCATGTATTACAAATGTTACCGAACGATAGTGAATACAGACTCTTTAGTATTTGCCTAAGCAAATTACAAAGTGATGTTTAATGTCACTTACTGACGATATAATTTTTTCTTTGTAATTGTAACATACTGTATACTTACAAAAGTTGAGGGCCAAATAATCGCAGCGAATAATGTATCTCTCAAGCCTTTTAAATGTTTTGGTAGTTTGTAGCTTATATTTTTCTTGTTTCTTAAAGTTGAAAAATCACAGATAAGACCAATTACCGCGTAGATGATTTGTAGACCCTGTAACAGTTATATATGACATATATTAGAATAAGAACAAACTGTTCCAAAAGGGTCCTGATGAAGGGCTCGAAACTAGTCGGTGCCACCACCGGACGAACACACATAACTATTTTAGCCATTTTTATATTGTTCAATTAATTCACATAAATTATTAAATTGTTTTTATTTCATTCTCATTTATTTGTTTTTGTATTGGCAACATTTAAGTACAAATTTCTATGCTGGCAACAATTATTCATTGGACATAAGTGTTTGCTACCATAACGCACGCTGTTTTTTTCTAAAATTAATTATTTTAAGTAACTATTCAATAAATAGTTAAAACAAACACGCTTGTTTAATTCAACATATATAAGTTTAATATAATGTCTCACGAAATTTGAATAATTTAACTAACTGTTCTAGTTGTACATAGTTCATTAGAACGATCGATCATTTAAAAAGACGAAGTTTGAAAACCATTGAACAGCTACAACTTTAGTTTTATTGGTTCTTTTACTCTACAATAAGTTCTCTATTTCTTAATCTGGGTGATATTTGAGTCTAAAAAGTTTGCAGCTTGAACATTGTTAAATCCATAAAAGAAATATGTAAATTAATAGTAAACTATTTAATTATTTTGTTTGTTTCGTTTTTATTAAATTGCCAGTAATTAAATACAGTACTTACAAATGTCCAACAGGTGAAGTATCTGGCCTGTAAATTACTAAAAGATTTTAGCACCGGATCATCCAAATGTTCTTTCTTTATTCCTTTCGCCATAAAATATATGTTTGAGAGATGCATTATTATAGTTGCAGCATATCCGAAAATTCTATAATATATATAATCTTCCATGACTCTGTAAACGACATAATTATAAAGAAATTATTACTTTATCGTATACAAAACAAATCGGACGAGTTAACTGTTAAGTTTTTGTTATAACTAAACGGTCGAACTATTAAAAAAAATATCTGCGTAGCTGACAGTAACATGAACGCAATTAAATTGTTTATTATTGACTTGTTTGAATGCTTTTATAAGTTGTATAACTGTTTAATAAGTTGTATAATAAGACTATTCTAATATTATATAAAAAAATATTTAACAAATAAACACAAAACATAAACGATTTCAAAAATTATTATGCCATTAGAAAGCTGTAATTGAGTAAAATAGACTATGATTTTTTTTATTCTTTTTTTATTTCCGCGTGGATGAAGTTGCAGACAAAAGCTATTTTATACTCACAGTGAAGTTCGGTAACTGAGGATTATCTTACGTTTAAATGTATTACAAGAAATCTATATACTAAGGAACGTTCAGATACAATTAAACGAACGCAGTAGTTAGTATGTTATTAAACTTCATTATCAAGCACTATGCATGCATCATATCCGGCCAGCTGAGAAAACGCTGACAGAATCCAATAATTACAAGAGCAAAGCAAATCTAATCACTTTTAACTATCTTACTAATATAAATGCGAATGTTTGAATGTATGGATAGATGTTTGTAAGCAGGTATCTTCAAAATGGCTACATAGATTTTAATAAAATTTGGCATAGATGTAGTCTAGAATATACTCTGGAGCACATTGGCTAATTATTAAGTTTTTTTTTATTTTCGAGTGGAAGGAGTCGCGGGCTACAACTAGTGATATAATAATAAACGATCGTGTAACGACAACAAAGTAATGTAATATAAGATAAGTAATAAAACCGGATTTATAATCATTATCTACATTTTATCGTGTCAATGATTCACCTATTTAAAAATTGTTTAAACTTAATAGTATTTGTAATACATAACTAAAATGAAGAAGTATATAGAGTTATTTTTCCAATAGATGCATATTCTTTATTTTATTTGATACTGGCTGTCGCCCGCTACTCCGTCCACGTGGAATTAAGAAAAACTTAATAGCTTATGTATTCCAGACTATGTTCTGCGTATATAGGAATTTCAGTGAGATTCATACAGATGTTCAGAAGATAACATCTAACAAACATTCATCCTTACATTTCAACATTCGCATTTATAATATTAGTAAGTTAATTATTTAACGTTTAGTAATTAATGAGTGTTTAATTCCTTAAAAGTTACTTTAATATTCTCATATACCATAATTTTATAATAAGCGTATATTTTTAATTTATGAAAATAAATATATTTACCTTTTTTTATTTCTTTTATGGAATTTTTTATATCAACACCTTTAGGAAATATACCACTGACCCGACCACTGCCATCCAGTAACGGTAAAACACTACGTACGTACAAACTGATTTCGCGTGAGCCGGCCTCATATCAGATATGCAATTTACAACCTAAATGCAACTGGGTAAAGACTAAATTGTAGTGCATGTTGTTTGAAGGTATATCTATAGTAGAGTATCCCCATATGACTTTGAATCTTATGGACTGGCTTTACATTATATAATTTTTTAACGTTGTATTTAATATTGCATATGTATACATATTCCTATATTTGGTAATGAAAGCTATGTTTAGCTTTAGCCAGTTATTTTTTTTAATTCACTCATCCATTCGTTGGGCTATGACGATTATAGTAATTGGTAACTTTTATTTTATCAAAAGTAAAGCTATTCACTTTAACTATTAAAAAGCAGTAGGCGCTTTTCAATTCAAACAAAAATATTTTCATGTTTAAACATTTTCATGTAGGAACGGCCTTAATTCTTAATCCAATGCCTCGTCTTTCATTGCATAAATTTAAAAGCAGTTTTTCAAAATATTCTAAAAGGCCGAGAACACATCTTTGATTCTGGTGTTACGATGTCCATGGGTGTTGAGGAATTCTATATACTAAAGGTTTCACTACTCATTTGTGCCCTTATCGTTTAAAAATACTAGAGCTATGAATTTCACACTAGGGAGAAGAGAATCAGACATTTGTAGACAAAAACACTCTTTTCATGTCTTTATCTTATATCGTTGTACCAAGGAACTATGAAATTAGCTGTGTATATTATTAGAATAAAAATATTTTATATTAGAAAACTTTATGGAAAGAGTTTGCATTTTACTCAAAAAGCATAAATTTAAAAATACATAGAGCTAAAACACTATATAGGTATATAATTGATTTCTATAGGTGTAGAGATTTTAGAATTTTCATAAAAGTTAATAACAACCTTAGAGTTATGACCTTGGCTTTAAGTTTAAACTAAAGTCATTTATTGTGAATTTCTGAGCCCCAAAATCCCTGTTTAAAACATACTGTTATCTCTTGTCTCTGGGTAATCAAAGATAATGAAAGGGATAACGATATATTTCATACATAGATTTTGGTCTCAAAAACTCACGGTTAGTCACTTAACATAAAACTTAAATTCATATATTTGATATCTTTAAGTGTTGAAATCTACCAGACTGTAAAATAAATTCTGTATTTGTACTCATTTTATTCTAGTGATGTAAAAAATATTAATTATTCAACATCATATACCACTCGTGTGAAATACATTAAAATTATTATTTTATTTTTTTAAATAAAAAAAAACAAAATTTTTAAACTGTCAAATAAATATTAACAGTGGTAGAGCCCGCTTTAACATTTTCGCACGAATTGGCCCGGTTCTCCCGGTGAAATACCATGACCACACAGAAGACAGGCGTCAAGTGGAAGCAATTCCGCGTTTCGTCTGATAAGTGTGCGTGCCGGAGGCTTAATTTAGTCCTCTTTCCCTTCCTACCTTTTTACTTATAAGAAAAGGATGGGAAGTGGAAGTGGACTTTGCGGATGAGAGGGTGAATGGAAAGGGAATATATTTTCATTCTGTGCATCCTCTCCTCCGTCGATTAAAGGTAGGCAACGAATATGCCATTGCGTATATCACTTCGCTATATCAGCGATTTCAGGGAGCCGCTCGCTCGTTTGCCATTTTATGAAAAAAAAATCTACCTTTTTCTTTTTTTTCATTAACTCTTGATATGCCTTAGTTACCCAACTTAAATAAAACAACAATGTATCATTGTTCTTGATTATTATTCTTAACGCACTATACTAAGAAGATTGAAATAAAGCAATGGTAAGGTTTCTTAAATCCTGTCTTTGAGTGATCTTAACGCGATTGTCTGATTATATTAAACTAAGAATCGACTATACATACAAGTTAACTACTTCAGGTACAAACAATAAACATTTTTTATTAGTATAAAGTCCACTTGTATTACATACTAGCTGTGGCCCGCGACTCCGTCTGCGCGAAATTAGAAAACTTAATTAATAGCCCATGTGTTCTTCCAGAATATGTTCTACATCTATGCCAAATTTCAGCGAGATCAGTGAAGCCGTTCTGGAGATATCTTGTAACAAACATCCATGCAGTAATCCAAAAATTTGCATTTTTGATATTGCTATCCCTCTCATTCTTTAGGAAAACAGGGACAACTATATTTATTAACTTAATTCTTTAAAAAAAATCATCGTAGCATCTTCTCTTGACAGGGATCAGGTCTAGAAACAGTTTTTTTTTGTGCCAGATCTTCGTGTACCCAGTCTATAAACGGTCAGCATAATTCAATTTTCCTTTCCATGTTATGCTGTAGTTTATAAAATTAAAATTAATGAACTCAAAAACAAAAACAATTAATTTTGTTTTTGAGTTTATTAATTCAGACATCTGAATCAAGGTCATTTTTAATTGACTCAAAACTTAACCGACCGGTGTCCGACCGTGTGTGTTATCAAAGACATTTAAAATATACATTTTAATAGACATGACACTACGAATTAAACCGCACGAAAAAAATTCTACTGGTAGAGTTTTGGTTGTATTATTTACACTTTTTAAGTGCGGTCTATGTGTGATTATATTTTAAGGAAAATTCTCAGAATGTCCGCTCTAACATTTATATAACATTTGAATCTCTATGGTCCTTATTGTAGTTATCATTTGTAATGGTTGAAATAATACAAAATTGTTTTCTTATTAGTTAAATCACATAATTACAGATTCATATACAAAACAAAATAACATATAGTAGATAAAATTTATAATTTTATGTTAAGTATATTCACTTATAAATATACACACGCACATAAAAATACACACACACACACACACACACACATTTACACACACACTTACACACACACACTGTACTTGTTTATTCATAAATTAGTTGTCTATTTTTCTACAAAAATAATTATAAAATTTACATGTAAGGGAAGTCCTTTGCTCCTTAAGTACAAGTCTTCTTAGTTAAGGAGCAAAGGCAACATAGAATTTAGAATTTTTTATCTATAATAATAAAGATTTTTTTTAATTTTTCATTTTCAATTATTAATACAAAAGAATATGTAATGTTATGTAACTCAATTGAGATTTTAGTTAAATCTCAAATATGTTTTTGTTAAGGCTCAAATAAACTGCAAAAAAAATCGTTTTCCAGCGAAAAATATAGACACTGGAAACAATTAAATTATTTTTTGTATTACATAAATAAAACTGTTAAATGAAATATAACTATTTATATTATTTTTAAATTAAAGTTTATTATCCGCTTTAAAGAGAACCTTGTCAGAGATTAAGCGCAGTGTGTCGTAGTGTCTAAGTAAATTGGCTGTACGTAATAACTTCCTACAGATTAATACGTATAACAAGTTGAGGCTTTAGAATACAGCCTTAGTTGTAAGCGCACTTGGAACCAGAGAACGTGTGTGAGTTTCTTTTGTTCATTTACTTTTAAATTTTAAAAATCATTAAAGAAAAAACTTAAAGTTATAAAATCACTTCCTTATTTATTAATGTAAGTTAAGTTTAAGTAATTTTTAATAAGTTTAAGTATATGTGCGTATATTTTAAAGTTTTCTGTTATTAGTGTTCTCTTACTTATGTGTAATGTAGGCATATGTTTAATAAAAAGTCTTGGTAGATTTGTATCAAAATATTATTGTTTTTTGTTTATTTTAAAGATAGGAAAACAATATTTCATACCAGAAAAGCGTGAAGCGTAATAAAAATGACCATAATAGTGTTATTTGCGCTAATTTAGTGAGTACAGATCAAAATCACATATATGGTGCTTAAACGAAACTCTATTTATAACCAGCCAGAGACTTCGTGCTCACGGAATATTCGTTTTATACAAAACATCTTACTAATATTATAAATGCGAATGTTTTGGAGATGTTTGTTTGAATTTATCTACGGAACGGCTGAACGGATCTTGATGATATTTGGCACAGATGTATAACGTAGTCTGGAAGAAGACCCAGGCTATTTAATAAGTTTTTTTTTTATATCATAAGGTGGCTAACGAGCGAGCGGCCACCTGAAATCACTGAAATAGCGAAGTGACCGTTGCCCATAGACATACGCAATTGCATATGCGTTGCCTACCTTTAATTGACGGAGGAGAGGATGCACAGAATGAAAACATTTTCCCCTTCCATGCATCCTCTTATCCGGAAAGTCCACTTCTACTTCCCATCCTTTTACTATGAGGATGGGAAGGGAAAGTGGACTAAATTAAGCCTCCGGGACGCACACTCATCAAACGAAACGCGGAATTGCTTCCACTTCACGCCTGTCTTCTGTGTGGTCGTGGTATTTCACCGTGCGAGCCGGGCCAATTCGTGCGAAGGTCTTAAAGCGGGCTCTACCATTGATGTTGTTTTTAATTCCGCGCGGACGGAGTTGCGGGCGACAGCTAGTGTAGTATGGAAAAAGAAGTAATATGTGACTTATGTATAGTTTTATTATCAATCATAGTATATTAAATAAATGTGACAATTATATTTTATTAAGATATATATTTTGTAACAAACGTTCTTTTTTGTCTTGTTTGAGTGAATATAAAATCGCACGTTAGTAATAAAACGAGTAAACAACGTTACGTCGGTATAGTAGCATACTAATCAGTGTGATATATCAGTATATAAGACGTGTTTATTACATATAAACATATTTTTTATTATTCCTATATACGTACTTTTTCACATACACTTAGTAATGAGGTAAATCTTATCATGGGTTTTAAACATCCGCTTACATTTTTAAAAAGAAACACGGTAATGAAAAAATTATCCAACATTACTTACGGTAGTAACGCACTTTATTAAATCTCGTTTCGTCACTTGTCGTCGGGATAAACCCCGATTATACTAAAACCACTAGTAAAGTAACTCTTATGATCACTAAGAAAAGGTCTTGCTTGTTGTGGTGTCGGGTGGGAAATTCCAAAGATACCCTGCTTCTGGAAGCAGGTGACCAAACTAAAGTGCAAAGGGTTCCATAATCTCCAAGGAACGCACTGAACCCTTCAACATTTGACTTACGAGGAGAGGCAGAACTCTATCTGTGACTCCACACTTTAACGACAACTTAGGACAACAAATGTCACCGTCTTCCACCATCATCAACCAAGGCCTAGTCACCCTTAACTTGAATAAGCTCCGAGACTGTCGATGGACATGTATAATCGCATGACAACAGCGATAAAACAGATTTACCTAAATATTGGACTTTAAAGTCCATATTTACCTCAGTTATGGACTTTAAAGTCCATAATTTAGGCAAATCTGTGTTAAATTGTTCATCAGCTCACTATACGTCCCCACCTAGGGCTCGGAGCCTACCCTAAGTTAAGGGTGATTAGGCCATAGTCTACCACGCTGGCCAAGTGCGGGTTGGTTGACTTCACACATATCTTTGAATTTCTTCTTAGATATGTGCACGTTGCATCACGATGTTTTCCTTCGCCGTAAGAACGTCAGATAAATGTACATATATAAATCGGAAATCGAAAAAAACATTGGGACATGGCGGGATTCGAACCCAAGACCTGCAGATTGCAAGTCAAGTGCTTGACCCTTGAGCCACCGACGCTCTTAAATTATTAACAATTGATAATTATAGTTAATACCCGTGTGAAGTCGGAACACATTTAGTTTTACTATATTCCTTTAATTTTATTTTGTTTTTTTTTTATAAAATTTAATTGTTACTTATATTGAGCCCTTGATATGAACACATTTATTGCGATGTAAACAAACTTTCATAACCGTTTTATAATATGTGTAGGTCAACCAATTTATTTAACATTACGCAATCATTAATTTGAAGGAAACTTGTTTACAAATACTTTGTTCATATAATATAAACTAATGAAAAATTGATTTTTCATCGGATATATAGTATAACTTCTGACAGAAGACATAATTTCATATAATAAAGCAATACATAATTTTAATAATTCTATGATATTTGTTATTGTTAAAGTTAGTAAATATAAAACAAGACTGAAGACAGTAAGAAAAACCAATTTCGTTTTTCCCTACTTTTAGACATAATTAATTAGAATCCTTTGGTGCGAATGGCGCGCTTTCATTACCAAGTCAAGTATCAGAATCATTAGTGAGGGGACATAAACGTCGACATTTTAGTAAGGTTAGTGTTGCGCCAGTACACCGGCACAGTGTCGAATTTTCTTCCTAAGTTACTCACGAGAGTAATGTTTAAGTGGTTTGAATTCAAGCAACGTTCCATCCTAACATCCTAGAGTAGGGATTTGTGTTCATTCTTTCTCTCCCTAACTGGTTAATTATTGATTCGATTACTCTCAGTTTTAAAAAGTTATCTATATTACTTATTGATTTTTAATTCAATTTCCGTATCAAATAAGTTTTTGTGAATAAATAATTTGACAAGGCCATAATCAATGTTATATGTCGAAAACGTGCAATTCCAATTACTGTCTTATTTTACTAAAATACGACTAACTGGTTTTACAAGATTTTCCTTTAAAAATGACCTAAACTAAATTCTATTTGCCGAACAAATCCTTCACATTTAAGTTAAGAATACGTTCCTCGTTATCATTCGAAATATGCTCTAATCTTTATATATATAATTCTTCTGTGAGTGTGTCTGTCACTGAACTTCTCTCAAACGACTGGACCGATTTTGATGAAATTTTTTGTGTGTGTTCAAGGGGATCTAGGAATGGTTTAGATTCACAATTTTGTCCGCTGGACAATGTTTTTTTAATTAATTTTTAATTTATTAGTAGTTGTTGATTTTGGAATGTTTTACATTGTATCCGACAGACGGCGCTACCATCGCAGTGTCAAATTGTCAGACAACGTCTGTCGGGTCCGCTAGTTATTATGTATATATATGAGAACTGCAGCATTCAATTGTCGAATTACTTGTATAAAAACATATTGACATCTCACTCATTCTCTTTGAAAAAACAGAGACAAAAATATTTGTATACATTGAGTGTGGAATTTCACAGTAACATTGCGTTCTAACATTTATATATAGTAGACAATTATACATATTTGTATACTAGCTGTCAACCGCGACTCCATCCGCGCGGAATGAAAAAAAATATAATTAGTAGCCTATGTGTTCTTGCAGACTATGGTCTATATCTATGCCAAATTTAAAACAGATCCATACATCTATACATCCATCCATTCATTCAAACATTCCCATTTATTATATTAGTAAGATTAGTAAGAATTAAAAGAGAATAAATCTATATCATATATAGAATATAATAACCGTGAAATTTTATTTAGTATTTAGGTAAAATATATTATTGTCTTTGTCTTTTCAATGAGAATGATAAGGAGGATATGTTTCCATACAAATAATAAGCTAGACACATGATTCTATTTACTAAATAATATATTACTTTTAGGTATTGGGGACTGAGCGACTGGGCGAAGCAGTTCTAAATGTAAGGAAAACATACTTCACAAAAAATGACGTAAGTATTTAATATTGCTTTTTAAAAAAAATATATTCTCTTGCCAGTAAATCTCATTACAATGTTGCAAAAAAAATTGTAACTTTGTTTTAAATATTTATACACAAAAACGCGTTAAAGTTTTGAGAACAAAATATTGTTTTTACATTCTTATTTTTTGTTTTGGAAACTTTGTGCAACAAAAATTTTTTTTTCGCCATATTTTCCAAGAAATTAGCATAAAATCCTTCCTTCCATAAAATAAATACACATATATCCATCACAAGTATTTAAATGTATATACAATAATTATAAATTGACTAAAATAATTTTCCGTGAAAACTACCGAATGTCTAATTTTAGTCCACTTTCCTTTCTCACTCTTTTTCTTTTAAGAAAATAATGGGAATCGAAAGTGTATTTTCTGGATAAGAGGACTCAAGGGAAGCGAAATTATTCTCTTTCTGTGTATCTCTCCTCCGTCGATGAAGGTAGGCATCGCATCTACAGTTTCGTATGTCCATAGACAACGATCGCTTCGCTAAATTAGCAATTTCAGGTGTCCATTCGCCCGTTTGCTACATTATGATATAAAAAAAAAGTTTTCACTAAACCCAACTTGCATATCAAATTAATCAGAGACTAACTATCGCCTACGATTACGTCCGCGCCGAATTAAAAAAAAGGTTAGTCTGTGTTCTTTCAAGCTAAGTTCTATATATACTCGTAGATGTAGAACTTAGCTTTTTTTACCAGTCCCACACACCCTGATGAAGGGCCCCCAATAGGCTCAAAACTCGTCTGTGCCGCCACCGGACGGACACATACGTGAGTGTTTAGTCGTTTTTATATCAGTATATTAACTGTACTAAGACTAAAATAAAAAAGAAATGTGTTTACACGTATTTCCCAATATTCATTAACTAATAATTGTTCACAATTTCTCATTAATTTTAGATTAACAAAGAACTACGCCCCCTATCGTCTGGTCGGGTACGCGTCCGCACTGGCTCTACATGGCGGCAATTCCTTGGTCATGTTCTTGGCCCTCCAGGGTGATATTATGAAGGATCCACAAATAAAAACATTTGCAGATTTACAATGGGCATATATCACTATTTGGAATGTAGTAAGTTAAATTTTCTATCTTAGAACATTGCTTGTATCACTGCCTTCCTCATTATTTAATACGCGATATATTTTGTGAGCGTAAAATTAAATTTTGGAATGTGACGAAAATGTAAAACTTAATATAAATCTAAATATACTTCTCCTTTTCAAGATATCTTTGATAACAATTTTCTGTTCAATTAATTACAAAATTGTTAAATTTAATAATTAATTGCATTATTTCTTAAGCAAAAAATTAATTATCCTAATTAAACTGTTAAATTATTTAATAATACTCAACATTTTAAAGTATTTAATTTTTTTTTACAATTATTTGGAAACAAAACTTATTTTTATCTCGATTTTGCAGACCTTTTTTTAACTATTTTTTGAACTTCGAAGCTAGTACTCGTATGTATAATTATATGAATATTTCCTTCCAGGTTTTTCAATTATTGTACCCGTGCTTAGGAATTTTATGTGATTTACCAGCAATATTAGAAATTAAGGAACACGTTCTCATAAAACAATTGAAAACATATAGAGAAATTTTATTCGCAAGTATTATAATACCAGTTGGCATTGTGAGTATGATTTTTTTATAATGAAGAAACTACCGCCTAATCTAAATCCTTTAATCTAATATTAATCCTTATGTTCCGACTAAAATGGACAGTATCAGAAAATTAACATCGCCTCGTGTACGACGGAATTCCTATCCTCTTTATTTTGCGCTGCCAGAGTCGAGTAAATCCAAAAATTCCCGCTTAGACTCCCCTATTATAAATGAACAAATATCGATTATTGATGTTTTATTCGATTCGTATTCCACAAATTATCGAACTCTGTCGATGTTCTAAATTTAAAATATATTATTGACCTATTTTTTATTGTTAATTTTTTTCTATTTCAGTTTATAGCATTCGTATTCTGGCCGATATATTTATACGACAGAGAATTAATATTCCCAGCTTTTATAGATAAAGTGTTTAGTCAAGGATCAAATCATGTTATGCACACAGCCATAGCGTTAATTCTAGCTTGGGAGTTCATTTTCTTGCCAAAGTCCGCGCCAGAATCGCACAAGATCAATCTTATTCACACTTTCGGATGTTACTTATTATATTTAATCGTGTAAGTTGTATAGCTATTTATATTCATAACTATCAAAATCTCTTATCGTTATGATATGTTAAGGATAAAAAAGTTATATGTACAAGTACATATTTTAGCCTAACATAACTTGGGACTTAACTTTTAGCTACACATATATAAAAACATTTTCAAAGTTAAAATGTTAAGTAATGACCGCCTTCTTCTGTACGTAAAGTTAATTGTTTACATATTTTTTTCTTTGGTTTGGTATATAAAACTTAACAAGAAACAAGGTTCAGGCTAAGCGCCATCTGCGGCCGGTCACCTCAAGCCCGGTGAACCTGTAAATGCCTCATCAAGGCAAACAGTAACAACTCTAATATTTTGATAAACAATTTGTTTTTAATATTATTATTTTTCAGATTTTTCTCAACATACTTCCGTATTGGAGCATGGCCGTACCCGTTTTTGAAGCTAGCGCAGGGGACAATTTTCTTCCCAATGATATTTATTAGTGTCGGTGTGTTAGTATATCTAATATACCTAGCTCAATGGCCTATTAATAATTTAATATGGGGCACCAAAGAAATTACCAAGAAAATTAATTAAAACGTCAATAAACTTCGTTTACAAGTAAGACTAGAAATGTATTAATTTACTACTATCCTAAAAAAAAACATCCTTTATTCCTTCCCGATTTACTTGAAGTTAGCTAGAAATTTAAAACATCCTTTATTGCCGTCATAACGTATCTCGGTATCTTTCATAGAGAATGAACGGGATGAAAATATATTTGTGAATATGTTTCGACAATTGAATTTCAAGGTCAACACCTTTAAGAGATCGTTGGAACAATTGTTCAAGGTGACTTATATATACTAGAAATAAAACACGATCCTTTGCAAGTGATTCCAGAATAATAATAAAAACAATAACATTTATTTTCTATTGGTTCTCAAACTCCATTCTTCATCTACTTTAAGGTACAATGTTTTGTATTGAGTTCATAAATCAACAAAGCTTAATTATATATACAGGTTGATCGAAAAAGCATATAACAGTTTCAAAGTTAAACTGTATCATATTTTGTATCTTTTAATATTTCGATCAACTTGAATATACATAATATGTAATTATATATTCTGATCTCTTTACATAGATATAGGTTTTTATATTTCAATTTTTATATGTTTAGTTAATGTGTAAAAATACGTAATATTCAGTTTAACAAATCAATATTTTTTTTTGTAATATAAAATAATTATCTCATAGAAAAACAAGAGGTACAAAATTTTACTATTCCACAATGTTCGACACACCCGTACATTTTGGTATCATCGTTTAAGTATAAAATAGAAGCTCTTTTAGAATAACTGATATAAAAGTAACAAAGGAAACAAATGACCTACGTACAAATCACACGAAACACACAAACATATTATCCCAAAATTTTCGCAAATATCATTCTTGCGTCTATACGAAATCGTTACTTTACACGCTATCGATTAGTGTCCAATTCTATTATATTGTTTTTAGTGAAAATTTAGCAAAACATAGTATAAAAGTTTTAGAAATACCTACTAAATCTACTCAGCAATTAAACGTTTACCCTATTCCTATCCCTATCACACTAACACCCCTCAATCGCTTGCGATGAAGAGATACCGCGTGTTACAACATTCTCGAATGTTATGCACCAGTCTCCAAGTCTACGAGTTTTAAAGACGAAATTTATATAGAATGGACACGATACGGTTTTAGTAACATCCTGTTTAGAAAAACACAGATATCAAGTTTTTTTAATGTTGTCATAATATTTTCTATTTTAAAAATGTTAAAATAAATTCGACATAAAGTGGAACTACCTGTATCTAAATCCAATAACATGCGATAGTCTGATTTATATTGTTATTTGTAAGGAAGATATAGATTTGTCGTTCTTTTATAAATATATTATTTATTTGGATTTGGACAAGGTTATGTTCCATAGATTTATGCATAGACGGTTATTTTTTTTTATTGTTTAGGCAAAAGCTTAAACTGTTTCAGCCGATTTCTTTCAGTCTTAGTGCTTTTAAATTTCACCGTGCTCTAAAATAATCAATTAATGGGAAATGTCCGTTTTAATATGAAAATTCATATTACTTGTTTATTCTTAAATACGAATGATATCTTGATTATTTATTCCATCGCATTATAATTGAATCAGTCTCAATTTTCATTGAAAAATCGGACATTCCTCATTGGTATGCCGAAATAATTATACCACTAAATCATCTAAATTTAAGCGACTAATTTTATAATATAAACATAATTGTAACATTTGTAACAAACATCGTAACGTTTGGACAAACTTTGTAACGTTTGGAACCAACTTTGTAACGTTTGAAACCAACTTTGTAACGTTTGGAACCAATTTTGTAACATGTGACATCTCTATGAATTTGCGTATGTGGCTGTAAAAGTTATATTTTGATTAAACATTCAACGGCTCTCTAACAACTATATTCATATTTTATAATTTGAATTAAACATATTTGAAATATATCTTTATATAACAGTGTGTATTTTTTTTAAAGTAATATTTGAACCACCAGTATAATATTTTTGTTAAACTCTATATATTCTCACTATATATGTATATTTATAACTATGGTATTGATATTTAAAAAATCTATGTGTATGTGATTTTAATGAGACTGTCAAAAATAAATAAAAAAAAATAAAAAAAATCAAAGCCATATAACGGAACAAAAAAATAAAACAAAAAATATAGACAATAACAGATTGCTTTATTTAACAAAAAATATATAATATATAGAAAGGAAAAAAAACAACATTTTTCACGTGACTTTTCAAGATTAACATCTCTCAATCCAAGTGGAAAATCTGTTTTTATTTTTAATAGAATGTAAAATTAAAAATAACCCATCGAACCTTATTATGATATTTAATATAAAATACATATGAATATTAGCTATTTACAAAATACGAGTTAAGATTTATACTTTTTTAACACTATTATAAACCAGTCTATAGTAAAGGCTATTCGACAAAACTTAGCGTAAGTGTTAGAAAATTGATGGTTATAGATAATTCTAAAAACGTAGCAGGCAATTTAGATGCGTCAAAATTACGTAAACAATCAAATATTTAGCAATAATTAAAGAAAAAATGTAAAAAAAAACTTACCAAAAAGCGAAATAACTTACGTATAATTGTAAAAAAAATGTAAAAAATGTACTTTACTGTTTAAAATACTAAGGTAAATATTATGCATCAACTTATTTTTTGTATTATGCGGTACGAATTAAAAAAATCCAAACATGGCACCCAAGCGAAGAAAAGTGCAAACACAATGAGATCAAATTTAATCAACAAAGATACAAAAAAAACTGTAAATTGCCTGCTATACATACAAAACGCATTTTTGTCTCTACAATTTAATTAACCCCATCCCGTTTTTGAATGCCATTAAAAAAATAGCGTTCATTTTACAAATCATCCACGAACATTAATCTAAAAAATTGATGATACAAAATCGAAATAAAATAACGATACAATAAACAATATCGTATAAAAATCGTGCGTTAAAAATTAACATTAATTTGAAAAATGAACACATGAAAAACGCTGGTGGTATTCTACATAACAAAAACGCTTCGACTTTCTCATCTCAGTACAAGGTGAAAATAAAGTCAAAGGTTACCGTCTATTTCCACTAATAAAACAACTACAGACAAAAACATATAGTCATCCCGCTCATTCTCATTTAAAAAGTAGAGATAACAATATGTAAGAAGAGTTACAAAAGTGGAAATTAGCGGTTAAATATAAATAAACTCAATACCGCGGCACTCAAAAACGGAATGTTTTCTTCTGACTGTACTTTTTGTTCACCGCGCATCAAAACCTTATGATGCAACTTAATTTAATTTAAATTACGTTATATATTTTTCAAAGGTTTTCCGTTGCTTTGTTTAATGTGTTCGACTCATTTGATCCATTAAAACAAGCTAAAGAAAATAAAAAATACAAAATAAGGCAGTATTCTGTAAGCCTACATTACATAATCCGACATTCTACAACTGAAGAAGAAGAAAAAAACATCAATATTAATAATCATTTGAAATAAATAACAAGTTACATTTCTCTTTTAAAATAACTAATAAAATAATTAAAAAAAGACCTATCCATAAAATGTCTCGCTTATAAGAAACTGTTGTGTGATCTTCAAAACCTGTCTACATCTTTATAACTTTTATTTATTTCTTAATAAAAACTCTATTTCTATTATTATATCTTTATATATAATTATTATTTCTTCATTCAAAGTTAGATACAATTTACGATAATAATATTCCGTCCTTTATATACATACAATATGTAATACACATATGATTATATTACATATTGTTGAATATAAAAAGGGCATACTCTCAGGTTCCGCGCGTTCCCGTTACATAACTCATAGTCTCGCGAACATTAAAACCCACAAACATCAATGGATACGTTGTCATAATAAATGTAAATAATCTGAAGACACTCGCTCGTCCCTAGAATCGAATTAAATAAACATTTAAATATTAATATTGTACGTACGTACCTATACGTAAATATTATATTATAACAGTCTCAAAGTACATACATACAATTATAAATAGGTTAACAAACGACGTGCGGATGTCTTCAGTTCCAGTTAAGGAAGGAGGGGAGACTAAACGAAACGTAGCTGTCGTGTCTTGATATTGATACCGGGCCCGCCTCACTGCCGCCTGAATGCATCCGTAGGCAAAAATGAGATCGAAACTGTCGCGAGTCTGTCGTGATCCTGTCACCTGTCGCGAGCCAGTCACCTGTCGCCTAAACGTGTGTGTAGTCGAGCACGCTGTCAAGAGAGAACAGCTCCTTGTACAGCGCCGGGAACATGTGCTGCGGGTGCGCTGCTTTGAAGCGGCACAGCGCCTCCAGATGCATCAGCGAGAGCTCTCTGTAAACACAATTTATATTCTAAGCTAATGTCATGTTATAACTGACCTTTATATTAAATTGGACAGGCTATAACCTGTGATATTTTGTGCCGATTTCATTCACTCAAACTAATACAGATTAGACATTTACGACGCTAATAGTACAATGCTTTAACGTACGAACGATGGAAAAGCTGTCATTCCCAAGTAGCGATCCAGTTTGTATATAAAAAATCAGTATCTTACACGGGACAGTTTTGTTAGTAGACAGGTTACTGACCTGAAGGTGGGTATCTTAGTGAGCAGCGTGTCTAGTACGGTGACGTCACCCTTGAGAGGTGCGTGGTTGGTCTCTATCTCGTGCCGCATGGCCGCCATTGACATGTTGAACAGGCACTGGATCTCAGGGTTGCCGCGCACGCCGTGCCGTTCTGCAAAACACAATAATATATTATTAAATAGTTCACAACCCTACACACTTCGCTAATATGATGACGTTACACGAACTCAAATAGTTAAAGAATAATCGATATAATGATGACAAGAATTTGGATTATTTCATTTGTTTCTTCTATAAATTACTTCGCAAAATGTCCTTCATTTAATACAAAAGTCTGGTGAAATTATCAACAGTATTTTAAAAGCAATGCCTTCAAAAAAGGTTGTATATCAAATTCTTGTGTTTAATATAATAGATACTATATAAACGCCGATATTAACAATAGGCAAGATTTATTCATTTTAAAATAAATCATTGGCCAACCTCCAGCAATGGAGAGGTATAAATCGTGCTTTCCGTTTAATAATAATAAATAATACAAACAATGTTAATACAAATAACATTCGTAATACAATACTCACCTGGCCAAAGAAGTACAAGGCTCTGGTACAGCGCGAGTTCTGTCTCCGTCAGTTTGAGTCGTGCGATTGTCTTCGCTGCGTCGAAGATGCCAACAACCAGTGCCATATCTCGAGGGTCGCTACAAATATTAATATAAAACATGAGTTTCGATTGCAAAAACACAGACAAAAACATAGAGCCATTAATATCCATTTTATTTGATTAGAAATACCAATAATATATTTAGATAGATAAGAAGACTAAAATTACGAATACATAAGAACTTGGAGCGAAATTTCGTCATCGAGCGTCTAGGTTCAAACCCTGCCATGTAGCAATTTTTTAAATTTTCGAATTTCAAATATATCAGGGGTTCTTACGATGAAAGAAAAATCGTGATGCAACCTGCATATAGGCGAAGAAATTCAAAAGTGTGAATTCAACCCGCAGTGGGCTAGCGTTTTTAACTATGGCCTATTCATCACTAAGATGAGCGTAGGCCCCTTGGTGGGGACATAAGCTGACAATATAAGGTCATTGTCCTTTAATTAAAAAACTATGTAATTTGTAACTTACCGAGCATGTACGCACTCCCGTATAGGCAACACTACATCTCCGTACAGCACTTGTTCGCGGTTCACGTCGATCAGCCGCGACAGACGCACTATGGCAAGTTCAAACGAGCCTGCAATACAGGAACAATGATCAAGAAATGTTTATCCTTCTACCGTCTGCATAATGAAGTTAACCATTGACTCCGCACTCTTGATACTTAGTTTTCTTTCTATAAAGAGCCACTTATTTATGTAATACTGAAGGTAGATTCATAATTTGATAAGATTTTTATCTGCCCATCCGATGTCTTGATTCCCTTCTAAGAATCATCAAGGTGTGTTAGACACCTTCTACCAACAGTGCATATCTTGTCACGTTATTTCTACAGTAGTGTTTTGTATGTACCTTTCTTTAAATTATCCGATTACCTACTATGTTATATGAAGTATGGGAAATTAAGACTTTTACATCATTATTCGTCGTATTGAGCGTCGGTGGCTCAGTGGTCAAGTACTTGGCTTGCAATCTGCAGGTCCTGGGTTCGAATCCCGCCATGTACCAATATGTTTTTCGATTTCCGACATTCTTACGGTGAAGGAAAACATCGTGATGCAACCTGCACATATCTGAGAAGAAATTCAAAGATATGTGTGAAGTCAACCAACCCGCACTTGGCCAGCGTGGTTGACTATGGCCTAATCAACCTTAACTTAGGGTAGGCTCCGAGCCCCTCGCTGGGGACGTATAGTGAGCTAATGATGATGACATCATTATTAAAATATTAATTAATAAATCATACCGGATTTGAGGAGCAGTATCTGGTCATCCTGTGTAAGCTTCATGAAGCCGGGTATCAGTTTGGCGAACTCTATTATGTTCTGTATCATGCCGGTCAGCTTGTCAGCGCAGTCCAGCCACATCTCCTCGTACGTCATCGAATTGTAGAATAAAAGCCTATGACAAACAAAAGAATACAGACATTGAACTATACTTTTATAAAGAGGACACACACAGAAGACAGACGTGAAGTGGAAGTAATTCCGCGTGCACTCTGATGAGTGTGCGTCCCGGAGGCCAAAATTAGTCCTCTTTCTCTTCCCACCCCTTTTCTTATAAGGAAAGGATGGGAAGTGGAAGTGGACTTTCCCGATGAGAGGATGCATGGAAAGGGAAAATATTTTCTTTCTGTGCATCCTCTCCTCTGTCGATTAAAGGTAGGCAACGCATATGCAATTGCGTATGTCTATTGGCAGCGGTCGCTTCGCTATTTCGGCGATTTCAGGTGGCCGCTCGCTCGTTTGCCACCTTGTGATATAAAAAAAAATAAGGAAAGATTTGAACCAATTTAAGTGACTCTCTGTGTAAAGTCTATATTTAGCTGTCGATTTATTTTAAGAACAAAACATCGTTTTATCCTTGTCTTTAAATGCCTTCTTATAAGAGAATGGGGGAAACGTGTGAGGGGAACACCTACAGACGCCCTACTACTTGCAATTACAAAACTGTCTTGAATCAATTCAACTTATGGACACAGTAGTTATATCTTGCTCTTGCTTATCTTTGTTACTTACTTGGAGACATCTGGTGGTTTCCGGAACATCTCGTGTATGTACTCGAGCTTTGGGTTTGTGTTAGCGTGCGCTTCGGCCAGGCTCTTCACCAACACCTTACTGATATCACCCTCAGCTGCAAATGCAAATATAAAAATTAAAAAAGAAAACAAGTATCCAATCAAATAACTAGTAGTAAAGGTAAGCGGAATTTTTGTACTAAACAATAAAAAAAATCATAATAATTAAATAAAGTGAAAACCGCTTATACGACATATGAATTGTAGCAAACAAAAGGACCCGACGAAACACCCTGTATCTTATAAACAATGCAATATTAGAGATCACGACTGAATATTGCTGATCCCTTTAACATCGCTGTAACCGGTTTTGTAGTACAAAATATCTTAAAAATATAAACATTTATAATCAAATTAATTACTAAAATAAAATGAATAACACTACGCTGCAAATAAAATGAAAAATAGCAATTACATTAAAAAAGGTAAAATCTACGACTGAAGAAATATTAAAAACTATACTACACTGACATTGACAATGTCAAAGATGATTATATAATTCATGGATACAGTAAATAAAAATTAATGAGAGAAACAAACAAATTATAATGGCTATAGATCCACTATCTGCCGTAGTCCTGACGACTTGCCTACTGACTTGCTGGCGTGAGTTACTAAGATAATACTTGCTCAGATTTATTAACTTAAACATTAAGTTTTGTTCTTTCAGTAGTGGACATCTACATTTATTTTACAGTTGTAAATCTATATGTATTGAACTGATCTTTGACCGATCAAAATCAATAAGTTACATTATAATTGCAGCTTGTCTGTTCGCGTGTTGTTTAACAACACCCTTTGTGCCAATACCCGTGTTAATTGTTCAACCAAAGTCAAGACGTATGGACGAATACCAAAATCCTAAGGTATTTTCATTATATAATTTAAGTATCAATTTCTAAATCGAAAGTATTCTTAATGAGAATTCAAGGTCATTGTAGAATGAGTATTATTCCTGAAATTGGAATTAATACTTTTATTTATTTTTTGTTTCAGGCTTATAGGCAGTGTTATGTTAGTTTAAACAAGAGCCAAGTACATTTTCAAAAGCAATTCAAAGTGTAACATTTGCTATACATTTGTGTTTGTGTTTTACAATCCTGTATTAAACACTTAAAATTAATGAATATTTTATTTAAAAATGCAAATAAAAATATCACAAAACTAGCCTACAAAAACTAAACGAAACAATATCAACGAACAACAAAATCTGAACCAAAAAAAATCTAAACGACATCCAACTTCCACTTACAAGGCAAATCATCTCCACTCGATCCACTCTGGCTCGACCCTGGATGTCGTCGGTTCGTCACCGCATTTGGATTCACCATACCCATTCCTGACATATTCATGTTCAATGGGTCCATTAGACGTCCGTGTCCGCTACTGGACGTTAGATCGTCCGGACTCAGTTCCTCACTTGTTAAAGAAACTGTACTCTGTCCACTGACAAGAACAGTATTTTGTATGTCCATAGGACTGTGTCTTATATTTGAAGGACTATGTAGAAACGTTGTTGAATCAACATAGCTGGCGACTAGATTATCAACGCCCATAGAAGTTTCAGGTTTAATTTCCTGCTTTATGTTGATCACTCCTGACGATATAGATACGGGTGATTGGATTCGTTCTTGCTCGTATCGATCGAAGTCCTGTTGTATCCGAGTTCGATTCATATCGTTCATTGTCGTCTGTCGCATAGACGTTGTCGGAGTGGTCACAGTTGTGGTCGATGTGGAACCGCTCGGTCGAACGATTGTTGAACTTTTTTGTTGTTCGTCTATTGGCAATGTTTAATAAACATTTTATTCTATTATACATATTTAAACGCTACTTTATTAACGAACGATCGAACAAAATCTCAGACTTATTAGGCCCTTGCAGACAATTTCATCAATAACTAAACTAAATACCTACATAATTTTAAACATTACTTTCTTGTACAACAAAGATATTATTTCCTATTTAATTTACGCCTCTAGTTTATACAGGATGTTTTTTTAAAGAAGTGTCAAAAGTCAACTTACCATGTCCCCCAATGAAGTCTGGATCCAAGAATCCTCCAGTCTGTTTGGGCTCATACGTGGTTGTAGAGTCGACGTAGTCAGCCGACACATCGTAGGGCTGCGGCTGTTGCTGTTGCGGCGGTATATTCATGTTGGATGTGAGCGCCGGCCCCGCGCCGCTGTACCCGTATGATGACAACGGTGAACTGTAGCCAGGATAGCTGAAAGTGTACAATTGTATGATAAGAAAAAAAACATTTCATTGATATACCTATAACGATGTAAGTTTATAGTGACTACACATTCTATTCATTTGTATAGTGTATATTTGAAAATGTTTTATTTAACTCGAAAGAAGGACGTGAATGTGTTTTATTTAGGTTAAATAAATTACGATAGAATAGACTTAACTTTATAGTAAAAAGGATAAAAACCGTTGGTGCATTATACAAATTAAATCTCTTCATATTACCATTGAATATAAACACCTGTCAATTAAAATCAATAAATTTTATACACCACAATTGACATAACTATAGCCGCTGACAGCGCAATCTATCGGCAGTTACTGTAACCATTGAGATACCGCTATTCAATACTAGGTGGCGCTATTTACATTTACCGCTAGGCGTCATTCAATGTCACGCGCTTATACCGTTCCCGTAATGATGTCTGATGCACCGCTGACACGAATGTCTACGGCGAATTACGGACTAGCAACGGTAAGGGCCTTCCATGTAGACGGAGAAACCGTCGGCTTTGATCATGATATAACGGGACGCAGTATGAAAAATGCAATGTTTTCCGATAAAGAAACAGTCGAGATTTTGCTTTGCAAAAAGACAGCTTTGTTCCACTTGTATGCTATCATTTCTTACGGAACCAGTGTTTATAATCATTCACTTTTTGCTAAACTTCTCAGAACTGATTATAACTTGCATTTTTATAGTAGAAAGAAATGTATGTAATATTTTACTGGCCATTACATAGAAAATGTTAGGATCAGATCTTGTGTTATAACTTATAACTATACCTTTGAAGACAAACTTATTACTAAGACGTAAAAAAATCATAAGTATGTTAAGATCATTTTGTTACTATATCTGCAATTTAATAAAATACATATTTGGTTTAAATGTAAATAAGTATAAAAAAATTACATACCCGTTATAATGACCGTGGAATTGATCGCTGGAGCTGGGGGTTTGCTGCTGGGCGTCGTACACTGAGTCGGGCGCGGCATCGGTCTGCGCGCGCATCTGCGCACGATGGAACCGAACCTCGTCCTCCACTTTCTCACGTTGTTTCTTCGACATACGACCGAATTTCACCGCTAGAAATAAAAAAATGCATCTGAGCAATTTTCCATAATTTGTGAAGTTTAAATTTAGAATGCCCCAAACAATTTTATGACGCAACTCAATTAAAAAAAATCATTTACGCTTTTCGCCGCTAGATTGCGCTGAGTTCGCGTATATCTGATGTAACGAGGGAATCAATTTTTCTCGCCGTTCCCATAGCTTCTGTAAATTCACACGTCGAAAAAACACAACACGTAAAAATCGGTAAAGTAATCTTCACAATGCATTGCGCTCTCAATGACACCTAGCATACTGTTACTCAATACCTCACGAACACACGCGCAATGTATGATGTGTGCGAAAAGCGTTGATGTTGTAACGGGTTGCGAATGTGTGCAGTGTGCTGTACGGCCGAGTTACTGTAGTGTGCGTGAAGACACGTATAAGGTTCTTGTGTGTGCGCGCGGGACACGGCGGCCGTTGGCACACTGCCTAGTGGAACAACGAACTCTGGTAACTCTGACGTATGTATGTATACGTACTACGTACATGTGACGTGTAGCCTTACTACGTAACTCGGCTCGATCCCGTTGGCCGGTAACACGACTAAATTAAAACGTTTAATACTTCAAGATTTTATATTCGTCTTAAGTAATTCATCTAATTTAGCCGACTAATTCGTCACTGTCATTTTGTTTTTGTGTGCGTATAATTTTCGGTTCTATTTGACTATGAAAAGTTTTCTTTGACGAAAAGTTCGATGACCCGTTGTATTTGCCAGTTAAGGAGGAACTCTTTTTCTTTGTATATCGTTTGAAAAGAGAGGTCGCGACAAGTGGCTATTACTGGTACGCATTTTTGGAACAGTAACCTCCAGTTTAACGTCCTAGTTAATGGGTTTTCGTACAAAGGCGATATTTTGTGAAAAACATTAATGTCTAGACAATGAGTCGACTGTTTTCGTGAAATGGGGCCTCCCAGAACTCTACATAATTTACGCCTCGAAAAGTTTTAGGTTACGTCCAAACTTTTAACAGAATATTTTATCATACACTAGCTGTCGCCCGCGATTTCATCCGCGTGGAATTAAAAAAAAAACTTAGTAGCCTACGTATTTATCCAGACTATGTTCTACATCTATGTCAAATTTTAGCCAGATCTATGCAGCCGTTCTGGAAATAGCTACTAACAAACATCCATCCGTCCATACATTCAAACATTCGCGTTTATAATATAAGATTAAAATTAATTTTTAAAATTAAATAACGAACTAACGATGTAAATTGAAGTCACAGATTTTAAAATACTTATATAAGTTATGATTTTTATTTTAATTAGGAATCGATATATACATAAAGAGAATAAATTTAATAAAAGCTGATCTTATAAAGATATCAACGCTGTAACTACCTACATAAAATAGTCTCTTAACTTAAATTATCAGTACAAAACTATTACGTATCTCCATTCGTGTAGGAATCCGCGGCAATTGGGTCATAATGTTAGTTTTTTCATACATTTTCAGGTTCGATCGAGTTACATAATGATTTGATATAGCATTCGTGTCTGTCAGTTGCCAACAAAAACGTATACTATGTTACGCTTCACGCCTGCACTGTTGCACAATTACTAGTGTTGGACTATAGTATATCGATATTTATCTATATCTTAAAGAATCCTATTAAAGCATCGAAGTCGATAATTTTTTTTTACTACTGTACTAATGATTATTTTCAACGTAAAAGAGTTATAGATGTTATTTATGAATACCAAAGATGTTAAATGTTTACTTATTCTAAAGCAATTAATCTTAATTAACCCGGTAACACTACTTTTATAAGATAAAGGGGCAAACGAGCAGCGGGTACACCGAGGTGTTCATCGTATTACGTATAAGTTTTCTTATTAAGGCAATATTGAATTAGCGTTTAATGCGTCCAGGAAATCTATTAATTTTTATTCACTTTTGTAAAACCTCTTATGATTAGACTAAAAAAATATTATAAGATATTATTACTGTACATATTATGATTTTATATCTGCATATAGTACCTTTTTGATTTGAAATTGCATAAAATTGTCAATAATAAATTTGCTATTTTCGATATCGATAGTCCCATCTAAACATCACTAGTGTTACATAGAGTTGCGCAACACGCATACGGTCGGGCGGCGGCGCGCTATGCGACTTCAGTCCCAACAATATAGGCGAGGCGCGCCCACAACGATGTAAGCATCTGACATTTATCGATTAACATTTATTTTGTAATACAAGCTATATGGCCATATGTATGTGAGAAGTTCCTCCTTTTATGTGTCTTCCTATTAATAATACTTGTATCTACATAAGTATATTTTAATTTAAATCTATAGTGTATGGTATAGAAACTAGTCTTCTAAACGATTACTATTTCTATGTAGGTAATAACATGAGGTAGCGAAATTAATATATTCTAAATTTAGATTATCAGATCGTTTTAATTGATTTTTTTACAGCAATATACTATATAACTAGCTGCCAGAGACTCCGTCCGCGCGGAATTAAAAAAAAACCTAATTAGTAGCCTATGTGTTCTTCCAAACTATTTTCTATATCTATGCTAAATAGAAGAGATTCGTGCTGTTCTGGAGATTTCTAATAAACATCCATCCATTCAAACATTCGCATTTATATTAGTAAGATCTGAGCTAGATTTACGTTAATACTAGCTGTCGCCCGCGACTCCGTCCGCTTGGATGTATAAAAAACTAAAAAAAAACAAATAGTATTCTATGTCCGTCTCCTGTCTCTAAGCTACCTCCTCACCAATTTTCAGCCATATCGGTAAAGCCGTTCTTGAGTTATAAATAGTGTAACTAACACGACTTTCTTTTATATATATGTATATAGATAATCCAATGTAAAATAACAGGCTAATTTATATACCTGTCATTAACAAGCAAAGTTTATAAACAACTTTGAAATTATAAATTTGTAATTCGATACACTCTCATAACTAATGGAGCAATGGTCTCAGGAAAAAATATATAACCCACATTGATAAAACAGTCAATATAAGGAGTTGGTCCAATCACGAGACCGGAGAAACATAAGTCGACGTAATAATTTCCCGCGTGTAGTTTATCACTTGGACCACAGCGGACCTGATTATATAAGAACAACATTGCGTTATCAAGCTGTGATAAGGTGTCGCTGACCCCGCGCTCGCTTCCTCATGCCACGTGTTTACGTAATTTTATATTACGATATTACTATTTCCGATCTAAACAATGAACAATCAGAGTACCTGAACAGAACCGAACAGAACATTCGTTTTGAAGATATTTCCGCAAATGATTTTTATGTTACTAACCGACCGTAATCAATCACTTTAATGGTTAGTTTCTGAGACAAAAATAACCAATTCAAACCTGTTATCTTTGTATGATTGTATTAGAAACCACTGGTAAGAAGGATTAATAATAGAACATGAGAACTCTTTAAGACGATATCAAACTTAATTCAAAGGTATATAAAATTATTATTCAATAAAAAATAAATAAAATTAATTTAGTAAGTTGGATGTCAAATTGTATGTAAAAAAACTAACAAATGAATGAAATGACAAAAAATAATATGAAAATACACAGGTCAGTTATGTGGTTTTTAATATCTTCATAAGTGATTGTTCTGATTGCCATCACTTCCCATATAACCGTAGTTATTATAACCCGACTAAATTAAAAAGTATACATACCATCACGGCTCATGCCGAGCTTGAGGCACTTCTGCAGACGGCAGTATTGGCAGCGGTTACGGTTTACGCGGTCGACCACGCAGGCCTTGTTGCGAGGGCACTGATAATTCACCACTGAAAGAAGGCACTGTGTTAATAAACAAATACAAATATAATTCTATTATAAGTTAATAAATAAATCAATTTATATAACCAATCATCATCTACAACGTAATCCCATTTTTAAAATGTCTGTCTAACCGTGGGTTTCTGAGACCTAAACCCCTTAAAACATATCGTCATCTCTGTTTTGTCAAATAAAAGACGGGGATGACGATTGTTTTATACGGAGATTTTGGTGTCAGAAATCTACGGTAAGGCCTGCCACCAACCAGTAGGTGAACCAAACCGATTTTAGAAGTGCTATTACTGAAAGACATTTCGCTTTTAGTTATATAATATAAAAAAATCAAAGGCGAAATTAATTTTATTATTGTTAAAATTATATTGTTAAAATAATTTTCATGTAATTGAATCAGACATTTTTTTTCTATCATAAGGTGGCAAACGAGCAAGCGGCCACCTGAAATCGCTGATATAGCGAAGTGATCGTTGCCCATAGACATACGCAATTGCATATGCGTTGCCTACCTTTAATCGACGGAGGAAAGGATGCACAGAAATAAAATATGTTCCCTTTCCATGCATCCTCTCATCCGGAAAGTCCATTTCCCCTTCCCATCCTTTCCTTATAAGAAAAAAAGGTGGGAAGGGAAAGAGGACTAAATTAGACCTCCGGGACGCATACTCATCAGACGAAACGCGGAATTACTTCCACTTGACGCCTGTCTTCTGTGTGGTCATGGTATTTCACCGGGCGAACCGGGCCAATTCGTGCGAAGATGTTAAAGCGGGCTCTACCACTGTTAAAGTAAAGTTAAAGTCCACCGAAATAGTTAGAAATCCATGAAAAAAAGATATACCAAAACATATTTTTTAGATATTTGTTAGTAAATGTTGCAAATAATATTATAGATAGCATAAGTAAGACCTCACAATACAACTAACAGACGAACAGATAAAGTCTCAGGAAGAGAGATTATCGCCAAAGCAATAAATATAAGTCCAACACGATTTAAGATACGGGAATTACAAGTTAGTTTAAGCAAGATAAATAACTTTCATTGAGAATGTAAACAAAAGTATTCATTATAATTAGATAGTCATAACGAGGAATATCTACGAGTATGTAACATATTATTTTAACAAACCTCGATTTTTTTGAACTAAGTAAATATTATTTTTTTTTGTATGTATAATGATTTTATTAATAAAGGAAAGTATTTAACTTGTTTATTTATCATATTCCGTAATAAATACTAACTCTAATTTTATTTTTAATCTTTAGCATTTTGGATTATCTCTGAATTGTAAATTGACCATCAGTTTCAACAATCAAAACAACTCTAAAGACATGTTATCTCTCTAATTCTTTTTTTGAAAAAATACAGATAACAAAATTTAAAAATATCCATCAAACCGTTCTGTAAAATTTAAATTTAGAACAACGATTTTTTAAATAATTTTAAAAAGGTTTTTAGAAGAAAATAATCCTGGCTGCATATTAAAAAGTAATTTGCAATAAAAAGAAATAAAAAGCTTATTGTATGAAGCCGACCTGTGCTCTGGGACCTTCTGAAGAAGCCCTTGCATCCTTCGCAGGTGATGACGCCATAGTGCACACCCGACGACTTGTCTCCGCATACCTTGCATGGTATGATCTCGATTTGAGCTGCAACAAAAAGAAAAATATTCATAAATACCCCAAATTAACACGAATTAATTTGTCAAAGATTAATTTTTTTTTAATATTTTTTTTCCAAGAAATGAAACAGTGATTTATTTTTTTATTTTTGTAAACATCAAATGACTTTGGTCTTTAATTTTTTCTGACAAATACACTTTATAACCTAAAATAGCCTTACTCTCACCGTTTTATCCTTCGAAAGCTAGGATTTAGCCGTACGTATATTCGTATTTATTTTTAATTACTATAACGGTGTTACCTTTTTTATTTCAGTCAATTATTTCGGAGAGATGTAACGAACAACCAAACTGATACAAAACTATCTTACATTAAGATTTTTAACATCTTTTTGACTTTGACATTAGGTCACGAAGCAACGTTTACAGATATTAGAAGACTTATTATAAATTCAATTTGTAAGAGCCGTAACAATAATCAATTTTATTAATACAATTGTATTTTCCATAAATAATAATCCTAATAATGATTTCCTTTTATTTGTTTTACAGCAAATTATCGAAATTAAATAATTGCTTTCATAAACGATTACACGTGTAATTATTTAATAATTAAAAAAATATATATTCGTACGTCATTTTGGTTGTCAGGTCGTTAACCTTAAGGCAAGGTCGGAGCGCGGCCGATGACTGTCTTTACATGTGTGCGTTCTTTTCGTTCATGTGTTTGTATGTTAAGCGAGGCATATTCAATTTTATTACCGTTAAATAAAACTCTAATTAGGTTGTAGATTTTTGACAGATGGTTATAAAAGATACGTAAGCATTTCTTACTTATTATTGCGCAAGTAATTCACAATTGCATTCGTATGTGAAATAAGAACCGTTATTAATTGCGATGAGTTGCTATGGTGTTGGTTTCAGTATGTAACTAGACATTCATTTAATTATATACTTTATTCTTAAAAGTATAGAGTTGAAATTCCACATTTGGTCGTGTCTAGATAACACGTGGTACTTAATAATTGTTCTTTCCAAACCTTTTGTGTGTGTGCTTGAACAGAGTAGCTGTGCAAGCAGCATTTGGTCTCGGAATGTTTGTGTCTTGATCTTAAGCCTGTCCAAAAAGTTTTTATTTAAATATTATCCGTAAACTTACACATGTTAAATTTTGAAAACATAAGATCAAGTAACTCCAAGTTTTTTTCTATTAAGTTACATTTAATTACTAACTTAGACACATCACTTCCGGAAATATCAAGAAAAACACCAAAAAAGTCACTGTATCGTTGTCTTTTTTTCAGTTTGTTGATTTTGTTTATTCTAATTTTAATATCACCGCAAATTTCTACAACTAATTAGACCTTTCAATGTCTTTAAGAATTTATCAGCTCGGAAGTTAGGGGTGACTAGGTCATAGACAAACACGCCGGCCTAGTGCAGGTTGGTTGACTTCACACATATCTTTGAATTTCAGATATATGTAGGGTACGTCGGGAACGTCGAATAAGTGTACATATGTAAATCGAAAATCACATTGATACAGGGGATTCAAACCCAGGACCTGCAGATTACAAGTCAAGTGCCCCCCCCCCCCACACTCGAGCCACGACGCTCCAAAAAACTTAGTTGTATACTTTCTCACAGGTACATTGCCAGTGGAAATATACTTTTATAATTATAATCCCCTGTAAAGGATTTTATATTGAAAAAATACAGACAGAAATTGACATTTAATAGATAAATTATCTTTATACTTGTTACGGACTATTAAGATGCAATCAGAGCTTAATAGTGTAGGCAATAAATAGTCTAATGCCACCGACACGTGTGACATCAAATCTATATTGCCTATTAGCTCCATCGTCATCGAATATTAAATACTAGTAAATATTATGAAAATGTAATATTCAATATTACTAATATTATAAATTCGAAAGTTACGATGCTTAGATGGATGCTTGTTACAAGGCATGTCATAACGGCTGCATGACTTTGTCAAATTTCCGCGAGATCCATGTGCGAGACCGATGTTGAATGTTGTCTGGAAGAACACATAATTACCAAATATAAAAAAAAAACTTAGTAGCCTATTTTCTTCCAGACTATGTTTTACAACTATGCCAAATTTCAGCGAGATCTATGCAGCCGTTCTGCAGATATTTTCTACCAAACATCCATCCATCCATACACCGCATTCGCATATATAATATTAGTAAGATTTGTAAGATTATAGTACATATAAATACATAAATTATCGGTTCATAAATGGTACACAATATTCAATACTTGTACCTACCTCCTTTATATCTCTTGCGGTTAACGGATATTTAATTCCGTTTACTACAACAATAAAAATGTTCAACGTTCGAATTAAACAATTCTAATTATAGTTGAGCTTTCAATGGGTACATGGGTAGATTGAACAATGAATTAAAAAGTGTAACTAATTAGGCACCCATCCCATTTCAAAAGATTTAAAACAATGGATTTAAAACCACAGTTACGTAACAATAGCGTTTGTTTTGACGACTGCGGGTTGCCAGTGGCGAAATTACATTGTCAGCAGTTTGGCAACGAACATAAGTTGCCAACTGTACAATTTATGAATGTTCCAGAAATCTATTATTTTATTAAATATAATAGCTGTCTCCCGCGACTCCGACCGCACGGAATTAAAAAACTTAATTAGTAACTTATGTGTTCTTCTATACTGTGCTACATCTATGGTAAATATCAGCGAGATCCAGACAGCCGTTCTGAAGATATCTTCGAAACCTCTTTCGCTGACACCACATGAGTTGGACAGTATCAGGATGGATCAGGAATATAATATAATATACATAGAAATGACAATTAAAATCTGTTCTATTTCACTTGTGTTAATCTCTATGGTACCTATAGATAGTGCGTTTGTTTAGAAACTTAATACCTGATTTCATAGTTACAATGTTATTAAATCATGTAACGTACAAAGGGCGAGCCAATAACTCAGTGGCTAAGCCGATGATATATGTATTACAAGTCTTCCTAGATGTACTTTAGTAACGAGTGAACCTAGCAACTATATTTATAATAAAGTAATTATTTAACTTACAAAATTACGTGATCTTTGGCGCAACGATTATTTTTAATTAATCACCGTAAGTGGATTGAATGTGAGACCATAACGAGATTGATTAAAAAAAGTCGAACCTCTTAAGATTACTATAGATAAGAGAACCTTATATAATCGGACTTGTCCATCGATTGTAGAGCGGGAAGGAGACATACACCGCCCCGTTGCACTCGGTCAGCTGTTTGTGACGTCACCGGTCACCGACCCTCTGGGGCCCGTTCGAACGTTGTACCGATCTTGAATCGTTGGGGATATCACACCCGTGTGACGTCACGCGCACCGCGATTCGAATTCGGTACGATGGGTAATTGCGTAACATGCGGTACCCAAGGTTGCCGCGGCTCAGAGGTCATTGGACGGCACTGCGCCTGAGCTATTTCATACTTCACTCTGTATGATATTTCAACGGGTTTGTGAATCAATAAGGTAGTGTAGACGGTCCGTATAAGGTGAAGGATAATTTTGTTTATATAAATTTCAAATCGGTTTATGACATTATTATGAAATAACGCTAATGTTAAAATCGAATATGAACCATATTTGTTTTAAAAGGTTTTTTTGGACCTAATTTACATTTTATATACCATTCAATAAATATTAGGTACATTTTTATGTTTAATAATATAAAACCTTAAACTTATTTCAAATTAATTATCTGTTTTGCTATTTAACACTCAATACACGTCTCCGAATTTACACACCCACAAACGTCACGAGTTCATCGAACCCTAGCCAAATCCAAGGCTCTAGTTCCGAATTTGAATTTTAATCTAACGGCCTGTAGGATACGGGTGAACGACCGCGCTTGTCCGAACTAACGTTTGCCGCGCAGCCGTTTCTTGACTATCGCACAACTTCTATCACAATTTCTATTTAATTGCAAAAAGGTTTTATATCGAACAAGAATTATTAAGATACGTTGTCAATGGAAAATTTTACTTGAATTTGGAATTGCTGATAACCAAATGTTTCAGAAGGAATTTAGAATTCTAATGTTTCAAAGTTCGAAATTCAAATTTGTATAGTTTCTAGACGAAATTTATTTTTCATAAATATCTTTTAGATTTTTTTTATTATTTTCAGCTGGCAATACTTTGCGACGCTTTTCTTAGAATTTAGTTGACATAAGCAAGTTAAATTCTTAAACGTGTATCGAAACTATTCTTATATTAATTGAATTTACATTGTACTTTAATTAAAAAGTATTTGTGATAATTATTAAAAGTAACATTTGTGACGTAATGGTTGTGACGTAATTATAAGTTTCCTGTTCGTGACGAAATCAAGTTTGGACATACAATGGCGAATGGCGATGGAAGAAAATATTTGTGAGTACCTTCTAAATGTATTAAAACATAAAAATAATAATTTTACTCAAAAATTATCTTCTATAGTTAAATGAACATTGCAATATAACTATCTAGTCATAATTAAAATTGCAACATAATATTTGTACCAAAATTTTGTTTTCACGGTTGTTAGTTAACTAAACATTAATTTGTCATCTCTGTTGTTTAGCGAAGATACGTTCGATTTTTACACCTATTATTTAGTATTAGTACGAAGTTTTATTTTGATTCAAACGTTTAATAACGATGTTTACAGAGTACACTCGCGGTTTAATTTTAGTTTTGGCTTCAAATCGGCTGACGCAACAAAATGTGGTCGTCGAACCCTTTCAAATTTTACTGTGTTATATACAATTATTTGCATAGGGATAAAGATCTATTGTGCTTTTATATCTTATTAGCTTTGTATTTTGCATTGTCATTGTCTTTAAGTACCAGGATAACAGCTTGTTTAAGAGGATTTTTGTTCTCGAAGTATAGTACTACCAATCAAAAATAAGTATTTTATAAAAGTAGGAAATGCCTTGAAAATGCGAAAATAACACGTTAAATTAATTTAAAAAAAATTTAAAGAATAGAGGTTATAGAATTAAATACTGAAATAAATGAAGTCAAAAGTATCGATTTGAATTTAATCGATTTTAAATAGAATTAGCAATATAAAATTTACTTCGTATAATATTGTTGGAATGGAAATGACCTAAAATTAAACGAAAAGTTATTACATCACGGATTCGAATACGCTACGTAACATCAAGACTGTAGTTTAGGTGACATGCTATGACGTACAAAGGTCAACGACCTTCTAGATAACAATAGTGTGTCGTAAGAAAATTTGCCTAAAAAACATTATTTAAATAAAGAAAATTAATTAATTGAAAGTAGAACTAAAATATATATCGTAACTATTTAAGAGACAAACAGATTATACATTTTAACTCATTATTCTTCGTTCTTTTCAAATTACACTGATTTTTTTTAACTATGCCAACTAACGAAGTACGAAGTAAAAATACGAATTAGAATGGACAGCCTTTATTTTCTCAGTAACCAAAACCGACAGATATAGTCCAGGTGACACTGTCAATATTTGAAAACGTATCACAAGAACCTTGTAATATCTTACCATATTTTTTTTTCTTTTATGTCATTATCTAAAATAGTTTTTATATATTTTCTGACAGTGCAAAACTAGTAGCGTCTCTTTTACGGAGTCAAATGTTTGTCGGACTATCGATGAGTTTCTAAGACCAACCTCATCGTTTAAACAATGTTGTTTTCTCTGTCATCATCTTTGACAAAAGATATATATTTTTGTCTCAGAAACTCACGGTATAAGGAAATAAATAATACATAATACAACTGTCTGGATAGGGAAATTCAAAAATAGAATGAGTTTTTATCGCACCGGAGCAACAACCCTTACGACACAATCATATGTTCACACACAACTATTTACCTTATTAAATGTAAAGTTTAATGACTACGTTAGTACCGATCACAATAAACAATAATAATTATATTTATTTTTATAACTTGGCTCTGGTCGCGTTACTTACATAATTATAGTTTTAATATTATGTTACGCTTATATAAAATACTGGCAATGAATTATTTTGAGGCTAAAAAACGAAACAAACAAATTCTATCTTCATGGTAGAGAAAGCAGTAAGAGTAGCTGCTTAACTAAGCTAAACGTCATACGTCAGTTAATTTGGAACGCGCCCTAAAATAAAAGTGACAGCTACTCGTGACGTCGATGTGACGTCAGAGGTCAAAGACCTCGCTGTGGGCGTAGCGCGTTCGGTTTTTTGAATTTTTAAACGGCTATTGTTCAGTATTTTATAAATTATTAAAACATATTTAACACAGATAATGAATTGTAATGATGCGTTTAAATACTTGAGCGTACAATCATTTACGATGACGTTTATTTTTTTTTTAAACTCCGGGCTAAAGCTGGCTGGCTCATATTATTTGTTGGAAAAATGACAGACACTTTAGATTGACCGCCTAATATATAACCTTTTTACGCCGAATAATTGGTCTGTTAATTAACTACATACATAAAGTTCTTTGCAATCAGAATATTTTTTGCATAAAAAAGCATTGTTGAATCCTGTGCAATTATGTGCAATAATGTAACTTGACACATCTCTAACACTATTTCTGTAAATACATGATTCAGAGGTCGACGTATCATTGAATTAACTGTGAACAACCTTGAACTGACAAATTAAGCAATTTACTCTCATTTTGAAGGATAAAGCACTAAATTCATTCAGCCAAGTTCCAGCTATTTACATACCACCGGAATAGTTTAATGACAAACACGAAAAATCGAATAAGCTTCACGCTTATATTCTAAGCTTAGTGTTGAAGAGTAAAATTATTTAATGGAAAGTTATACTAAGTATCACACAGAAAGTCTTAATGATTACCTTCAGGTTTCGTTTTGTTTTTTTTTAATAAGAAATCAGCACTAACTGTGATCTTGATTGCCCATTGACTTTTAGTAAGAATGAATATTTCACTTTAGTGTGTAAAGGTATATTAATAGTTAAGTTAGTAAAATCATAATTTCCCAACACTAAAAGTTACTAAGTTACTAAACGTTACCATCACTTAAAACGATAATGTGTTTAATTATAGTTAAAAAAGAAATCAGTTAACATTTAAATTGATTTATATAAAAAAATAAAGCGACGTTGCAAAGGTAATCGATCGAAAGATGAAAACGAACTCGAATCGAGCTCCTGTGAAACAATTAAGTAACAAGTCAAAGTGTAAAGTGTGTCAAGTGCATTAACCCCGACCGAAAACACGTGCAACACACCCCCGCAACGAAAACGTAACAAGATCACGTGGTAAACTAACAAAATTAGATCTTAAAGTAAAAGTGACAAGATTTCTTTTCAATTGTAACTCCTGTATGTGATATTTCCCACGTTTCATTCGAAACAAACGTAGCATTTGCGACGTAGAAAGAATGATTGTTCCAGTTATACGAATTTATATTTTCCTACATACAACTTTAAGTGTAATTTACAATAACGCAATTCGATTGCAAACTAACGTATGGAATGTTATGTTAACCTAAATTTTGGGGACAATTAACACGCATTCCGAACAAAGAAAAAAACCAAACTATTAGTGGAACTGTATTTAGTAGGGCACAAACATTCAAATGCAATTGGGAACGTTGCAGATAATGCAAACTGTAAATAACGACGCTAGGTTTTCGGCACAAATGACGCATAAACACTTAAACCTATAATCACTATCAACAAATATACTTTGAAACTACAACAAATTTAGATTTTGAATCGTAAACTAACGATTATTAAACTACTTAAAACGTTTCATAATCTGATTAAAAAAAATATGACTATACCATAAACATAGAGAAAGACTTCAAAAGTATCTTTTACATAACTTTCACTGATATTATAGAAAATCTGTATTAGTTTAGTTAAATACTAGTTAGCCTGTGATTTAAGAACACTCAAACACATCTATTTTACTGCCTTTAATCTTAATTTCTCGATCTAGCAGAATTGACAGTTTCCACAATAATAAAACATCTTTGACTTGACAACTGTCACAACCAGAGTACACTTAATCTGTGATTACATTAAAAATCTGACAACTAACATTTCTATAATATCAACTCCAATCGAACTTAATCACTGTTAGAGAAGTCATGCAATCAGTGCCGACAGATCTAAACAGTTTAGCGATGACAGCAAACTGCGGTCCGTGTTTGCGGAACGTTAATTTTGTAGGAAACTAAACAGATCGTCCCAACGCCGACAACTAAATCTAACAGTTTAACACAATACTTTGTTTTCACTGTACTTAATGCTTGGTTTACATAAAGCCAGTACAGTAGGACAGTAGCACAAGCGAGGGTGAACTGGAAATTGTTCCATCGACAAGGACATTAGTTTTTAAATTTCCAACAGTAGGTAAAACTGGCGCCTGTGAGTCAAAACAGTTGATGTCAGGCAAGTGCTACTGTCCTACTGTACTGGAACAATGTAAACCAGTCATAAGACATAATTTTCCTAGTTTATTATGTTTCTATATTTCGATAAGTTTAAGGCAAATATATCTGAATTGTAACTATTAAAACAGCAGCATATATTATATTTGTGTCGTAAATCAATAGAGGTATATCACCAGACAGACAAACATGATATTATTATTTGTATATAAAGATAAAAGGTCATTTAGTACTGGTACGTCGGTTTAATGTACCTGCATACGTCAGTACTACATTTTTATTAAATCTAGTTGTAACCTTATTACCGGAAGAAATGGTTTTCTTGGTCGATTTTAATTAATCGATTGAGGGGAATTTATCTAAACACGTGGTATTGAATTTTAATCGAAATATCTGCTCAAATCTCATTATTCCTATATCTGCTCATCCCTCTTTTGCACTATATGATAGAGAACATGTTTTATAAAAATATGACTTAAATGAAATAATCTTATTAGTTGCCAAACGTAACAGGAAGTAAAACCTTTTACTTTTTGTTAATTAAAAAAAAAAAGTAGGTGTTAACATACAATCGAAACCATAAACGATCTCCTTGGTCGAAGAACGCCAGATACTGAAAAAGGAAAAATTCTTAATTTACCTCTAATGGAGTTAGCAGCTTTCTTGTCCATGAACATGCCAGATATGGAAGATCCAAACATTCCCTCGCTGTTGCCGGGAGGAGGTGAAGTGCTGTCAGCTACAGATCCTGATATATCCATTCCCATTTGGTTGTGCATGCCAGGAACGTCTGGATGTGGTTCCCTCTTCAACTGCACTTGTGGTATCTGCGATTGTTGGTGCAGCATCGTCGAAGCTGACGAGTGACCACCGTGCTGGTCAGGTGGCCACTGAGATCCGAACAACTCGTGAAACTGGTTGTTATTCATCATTTCAAAATAAGGATTTCTTGCCGAAATTTTTTCTTCTTTTCTTAAGTTATTTTTGACAAATGATTTTCTGATGTCTGTGCGAATTGAATTCGCATTGCTATTACTACTATCACTGTTTGGTTTATTGTTTTTTTTTTCTTTAAACTCTTTGTAAAAACTTGTTTCTTTCGACTTTGTCGGGTTAAGGCAAATTATATTCTATGTTTTGACACCATAAGAATTTTTCGAAAAAATTTTATGGCACTCCGGACTTTTTCGTCAACTTTGTTGAAGTTAAGCACCAGTTGTTGTTGTTTTTTTTTTATTAACTGATAAATATATTGAGGCCGAGTGGTGAAGTGAGATTTCTTTTCGCGAAATTTATTTCAGGAATTAACTTTTTGAACAGCAACAAGTTCCTTGGCATTTTGTCTCCGTGATTTTGTTTTGTTGTCCCTTTTTCGTCTTAAAATCTATTAAAGGCACTGTTTTTTTTTTGTAACTTTTTTTAAATTATTGTTTTAATTCACTTGTTCCCGTATACTTTTTGTCACAAAGCGAAAAAACAATCTGTAAAAAGAAAACCAAAGCAGAGAGAAGGATTTACTTGATTTTATTTATTTATTAATAGGAGATATTAATGCCAATTAGATTTGAGATATTTTTTTTTTTTTGGAAAAAAAGCGATTTTAGTTAACTGAACTGCACTCAATTATCTAAAACCAATTTTTCTTTTTCTTTAAATTTACGTTGAGCGCTAATGTAATAAATTTAGATTTATAAGTCGTTTATCACCACGTTCCATATAGAAACATCCTGTTCACTGTCGCACTGTACAAGGCACTGTCACTATTTTCAGTAAATAAACCAACTAATCCGATCACCTCAGTACTGTAAGGAGAAAAAAATTTTGTACGTTAATTTTTGTACTATGGGTTGTGCACAACTCGGGTACGCGTCGAGGACTGGCCGTCTTGAGATGTTGACGCCTGAGCGGTCCGATCGTGACTGACGCATTGACGAATCTTCGGTCGGGCTCACGAAAAAATTATATATTTTTTCATTCGGACCGAATAATCAACTTAGCTCATAGTGATAGTTCAGTCGCCCCGGCTCCATGTGGAATATGATGGTCAAAAATAATTTCGCCAAAATTGAATATTAAGCAAAATTAATTATTGTATATAAAATAGTACATTTAAAACTGAAGATGTCTGATTTTTAATGTTAAATATCAATAAAACTACGCCTACAAAAAAGGAATCAATTTGCCCAGCATAGTCCGCACCAAGTACAAGGCAAGATATCGATGTGTGCGTGTGGCGGTGTTGCGTACGGACGTAGCGGCGCGCGCACACAGACGCGCGGGCGTCACAGCAGTTCGTTGACCCCGGGACCCAAACAAAGTAGATTTCGGTGAAATGCTGTTGAACTCTAGTTTGAATGTGGATTCTTCGGCGCTTTTGTTGCCTGCATTACTTTAGCAATTTTTTTTTTGATTTTGAATTGTTTTATATTTGTTGTTATTGTTGTTAACACGATGCAATTTAACAACCATAGTACGATTTTTGTTAATAGTTCAATGACCCCGGAAAATGAATGTTGACAACCGCAAACGTCAGCCGGCGCATTTTTCCGTTTCATTATTCATGGAACGCTATCTTATGGTTATACAATTATAATTAAATTTTATTATATTATTATTAATTACGAACTCGAATTTGAATTATCGCAAAAAAATTATAAAACAATTTACTAAACACAATGAAAATAACGATCGCGCCTATTTTCAAGTATTCGTATGACGTAAATCTAGATGCGTTCCAATTTTAAAAATGTAAACTTTTTAAGAAATTAAAATTAAAAATGTAAAAAGTTTTATAGGTCATCGGTCCGTAGGCACACGTGCTTACCCTGGCCAATCGACCTTACTGCGAGGTCGCATTCACACGATATGCAGAAATGAGGTAATCTGTGCATTTTCACGGCGACGTCTTTATTTCGGAACTAATCAAAAGTCGTAATAAAAACACTGGCAATGCCATCGACTTTAAAATATAAAAAATTAAATTAATGATGTTAATCTGACACGAAATATCGTGAAGCAAGTGAATTAAAAAAAGTGACAATAACTCTTTAATTCATTTCACTTTTTCCATCACATTTTTTTTTATTTGAAAAAAACAAGTGACTTTTGTGATCAAGGAAATGCGGATAATTGCTTTAACTCTTTTTGCTCAAAACTTAAAAGGCTTCGAAAAACTTCAAAGGATAACCTTACTATTACAATATTATTGAACAGAATTTTTAAAAAGGTCATGAACGATATAAAAACATAGGAAATCGCACGAATTCCCGACATATTGGAGGGTTAGGTGTAAATAACCTAGCAGAGGCGGCGACCTTGCGGGCGAGACGCCAGTGACGTCACTCGCACCAATTCCCCCTCCCTCCGACTACCGCCTTCCTCCCCCTTACCCCTTGGGCTAACGAACTATCGATTCGGGACCACGTGCTGACTCTTCATCACCCGTATCGTATAATGGAGTTTATAATAATGACTCATGAAAGTTAAAAACGATCATCAAATAATGTTTCGGACACCTAAAATAGAAAGTCAAATACAGAAAGCTTCGTCCTATTTTATATGGGTGAAGGAAGTAGGATTAAAACCACATTCTCTGTGATCTGTGATTTAAGTCTTTCGCTTCAAAAATACCCAACATTTGTTCCAAACCAACTTTTCTTAATTAAATCCTTAGTAAAAAAAATTTATTTTTCGGATGGCATATATTCATTTTATTCGTAGTAAGTATGAACTCTAGTGTAAAGATGAAAGATTGAATGATTATGTTAAAATTTAAAATCATTTCAAATGGATAAACTCGAAAACTCCAACTAGCCCTAATTTGACTAATAACTACAAACTGTAACTTTCGACATTCTTGTAAATTTCTAAATTTCAACAATTGACTAATACAACCAGACATCTTCAAACAGTTAAGTTTTCTTGCATGTGTGACGTATTGACTACGCACTATAATCACATAATCTAACCTGTCATAAAGAAAACGGACGTTACGCTTCCGATGCAGCTATTGATTCAGAACGCAAGCATGCTAATATGACATTTATATAAAATTAATAAGGACTATGACATGCGATTATATGCAGACAGAATCTTAAGAAGTCTTGCAAGTACAGTCAGCTGCTAAAATATTTATAGTAATAGTTACATATAATAACTTTAGGAACTCGTATAGGCCTTCGATTCCAAAAAAACGTACATCTATTTTTCAATGGCATGTATTCATGGTCGGAAGTATACGGACGGATATTTGTGTACAAATTTATAAAACCAAAAGCATATGCAAGTTTCTAAATCTTAATAATGTATAAATATTTATGCAGCTGACTGTACTTTATTATTATGAGAGACGATAATATTCTTGCTTCTTACTAAAAACAATGATAGTTGTAAATGAGTTACGGATACTTTTAAGATTCTACGCTGACGAAGTTGTGGGTAAAAGCTAGTTATATTCTAAAGAAGAAAAGTCTTACGAAACTCCGTTAGCTATATATGTAAACTCTTATACAATATTATTAGGGATGACGATATGTTTTATACAGAGATTTTGATCTCAGAACCCCACAGTGACTAACATTTATAGCTTAGATTTTACTTCACCATAAATAGATTTTGTTATGATTTAACTATAAACCGTTGTAATAAAATCATAATTATTTAGAGCGATGACATCAGGCCCACCTGTATACCTAGATACGTTAACCCTGCAAATGCCGCAACAAATGTGTGGTGCATGTCATGTACGCAAGCGTCATCGACCGAATACTATCATATTTCTTGCTTAAAATTTTTTAACTGACTGTTGAGTCAGCAGTGAATATTATCGCAATAAGTCAACGACCCCAATCACGTACGTTCAAATTTTAATTGCACAATCATTTTTACATAAATTCATTAAAATTGTCGAACAATCAAAATCATTATTGCTTTATGGATTGTCATTTTACATTTAGATGTAAATTCTAATAATACATATCAAATATATTTTCGTCACATCATTGTTGCGTTTTTATTTTGATTGAATTAAAAAAAATACAACTGAGGTGTCTTAAATTTATTTTTTACGAGTTATGAGTCGTTTCCTCCTTTTGTAAAGAGGAAGATCGGGTTAAATGATATAAATTATAAATCGTACAGAAGTTTCCAAAAGATAATGTAATCTTAAATATTGCTTCCGAAGCAATTGATTCATCTTTATTACTAAAAGTAATTAAACTAATGTTAATATCTATTAAACAAAACCACAAGGAATAAGCATTAATTATTTGAATCATAATGATTGTTATGATTTTTGTTATTATCTGGTTTTTTTACTATATGTCAAGAAATTATTACAGATGACTGTACCAAAGATTTATAAATTCCTTTATTAAATTTCACAAATACAGAAGAGTAATTTGCCAGCATGAGATAACTTATAACTTAATATTTATTTAAATATTTCTCGAAAATACACTACTGTTAAATTCTCTCTGGAATCCTGATTAAAAATGTATTTTATATTCTCTACACAGAGAAGACCTAAAGTTATTAAGAATCAAAGTTACGAAGCAAAGATGTCACGTTCAGTAGAGTGAATCTAGTCAAATTACAAGGTCACCCATATATACATAGATGTCACCGAACAATTGTGAAATTTGTGTATAGACAATTTGCTATAACTTAAAAGTGTGCAAAATACTAAAGATAAAGCTTAAAATTAATATTTGACATCTTTTTTGCTTTTTTTAATAAGAATTGCTGGTCTAAATATTAGTGTAGGTAAACTAAACAAATGTAAGAATATCTAGTTCAAAAGTCGTCGAATCTTGGCAGGAGATATAATATTAAATTTTTTAATGTACAAATGTTTACTTTAACCTAGAATTAAATTAGAATAACAGATGTCGTAGAAACGAGACTATTCGGACGTAACTATTTTCAATTTTATTTTTCAATCATTTATTATATTTCTACTCATATCTTCTGTTGTTTAAACGCTATAGTAAAAGATCAAGAAAATTAAAAACATCGGAGAATCTTCTTTCTCGTACTTCCGGGAAGAAATTTAAAAGGAAAAAAATTATAATTTCAAAAATGTTTGGCTTCGCATCGCGAGATGTGTCCAATGAACTATGAACCTCTTGTTTGAACTTCGTGTGACCCTTTGACAGAGTGATGACTTGACTAAGTAATAATATATTGCATTATAACAAAATTAACTTAAGTAAATATAAGTTAGCGTAGTGTAAAAAAATAGGTTACTTTTACTGAAGTTCTTATAAGAACGTCAAACGAACTATGAACTAGGTTTGAACTTAGTGACCCTATTATGTACAGTGGCTGACGTAAAGAAACTTAAAGATAGTAAATTTCTGTCTTATTATTATTATTCGTGTTATGCTAAATTTCAGATTAAGTTGAAAATAATTTACCTTTCAATTTTAAGCATTATCGGAATCAAAAGATATTTGAATATAAATTTTATGTAATTAATATTTTATAACTTCAATTTATTTTATCTAACACACATAATATTAAAAAGATAAAAATTTCTTCATAATTTTATTCACATCTTAATTATTATGCATTCAATTATTTTAAAATTCGAATGTTACATTCGAATTCGAATGTTACATCTACATGTAACAAATGGTATTTTTGTATATCAACCTGGACACTGGATAGCAACAGCTTGTGTAAATTCGATACATTTTAAACGTACCGGATATATCAAATGTAACTGGCCAATACGAATATGATAAAGTGATTCGAAATTCAAATCGTGTCAGAGTATTCGCGAATTGCATCAACAGCAACGGGCCAGTGTAACTGGCTGGCTAGAGAAATGCCGTTGAACTCGTATATTCGGGGTTCGTTGGCCGTGTGGCCGCGCAATCTTCAGATAACGCACCAAATCGATCGCAGATTTAGGGACTATCCTAACTTATCGATAGCCGTTAGTCTTATCATTCTATTCTTACAGATAAAAAATTACTTTAAATAAATTAAATTCGAATGTCGTAAGTGATCATAGATTATAAAATACATAATAAATTGACTGAGATCGATTTGAGC